GTGCACCCATAAGCACCCTTTGAGGTCCATTGGATTCAACCCTTCCTGTGATGCTTCCTGACTGTGTAAAATAGACAGGAGAACCTGGCCAGGGACGTTAAGGTGTGTGAGGTCTGAGTATTCTCAAGCACATAAGTGGCATGGTTGGAGGGACAGGCTGGCACTGGTCAGACACTGGCTCCCAGCACATTCCTGCACTGTTGGGGAAAAAAAGGGCCTCGGCCTTGGAGCAGCCGTCTTTCCGGAACACAGTCTTACCTCCGTGGGAAAGGCCTCTGTAGTTACTGCCTTGAGTACTGACAGGACCTCATCACCCCAGGCCCAGCCAGGCCCCCGGAATCCTACCTGACTTCTGTCCCTAGGGATGGAATCCCTCATTCTGTGGCAGCTTTCTCTTGTCCACCCAAGTGTGTCAGCATGGTCTGTGGTGCTGTGCTCATGGACACTTCCTTCACTTCACTGCTGGGGACAGTCATCTCTGCAGTGTCTGGGCCTGTATTTTGAGGGACATTTGGGCTGCTTCCAGCTTTTGTCTTTCAGCTCAGGAATCTGAGTCACCTTTGCGGAACTGATTCTGTATGATTTTAGTTGATTCATGGATAAGTCTTATGAACAAAAAGTGTTTTTAGAAAACAGAATTAATGGTGTGATTCATAAAGTTTTTTTGAGTGTATTCTGTATAACTTATACTTTTGCCTATAGTATAAAATTATAATTCTCTAGTTATATTTTTCTGACCTTTTCCTAAAAATGTTTTTTCTAAGTGAAGTTAACTTTTTGGTTTTGGTTTTGGAGCCATACCAGCAGTGCTCAGGGCTCACTCCTGGCTCCATGCTCAGGTCTCACTTCTGGCAGTGCCCAAGGGACCATATGTGGTGCTGAGATTGAACCCAGATCAGTCACATTGCAAAGCAAGCATCTTTTTTCTTTTTTTTTTTATTAGTGAAACACCATGAGGTACAGTTGTAGACTTACAAATTTTTGTGCTTGGGTTTCAATTATACAGTGTTCGAGTACGCATCCCTCCACCTGTGTCCATTCTCCACCACCACTGATCCCAGTATCCCTCCCACCCCCATCCCCCCATCCCATCCTGCCTCTGTGGCAGGGCATTCCCTTTTGTTCTCTCTCTCCTTTTCGGTGCTGTGGTTGCAAAGCAAGCATCTTATCTCCAACACTATTGTCTCTCCTGCCCTTGAGACAGACTTTACAGCAAAGATTCTTTGAGCCAGAGAGATGCTCAATGGGCTGAGTGCAGGATTTGCCTGGAGGAGGCCTGGGTTCAAGTCCTGGCACCACATGGTCCCCCAAGCACTTCTGACCTCTGAGGAACTGAAGGACCAAAGCCCGAGGACCTCTAAGCACAGAATCAGGTCATCCTGTTTTGTGTGGCACAAAACCAAAATTGGCCAAAAAAGAGCAGAGGCTCCTAAGACCTTCATAGTGAGGTGTGCTGTGCCAAGGAAGTTCCTCTCACTCTACCCAGCAGCCGAGAGACCCTGCTCCTGTACTGGGGGTATGTGGGCAGGCTGCCTGCCCCTTCCCTCCCAGGAGGGCATGGTCTTCTCATCAGCACCTTCCATGTCCGCTGGCCTCTTCAGCCAGACTGTAACTTTGAAGACAACTGGTCTCCCCGCCCTGGTCTGTAGGGTGGGTGTGAAAGGTGAAGAACGCTGCTGGTGCACTGAGCTTTGGAAATGAAAGGTGATGTCCAAACGAAGTTTCTGAAATAGAACATGGAAATGTTTCTTTCTCAAAGGAATCACCTTCCTGAAGTGCAGATTTCTGTGTAAGAGCCTTCATCTTTTCCAGTTCTGAATGGACCTCCTACCAGGACACATTCAGGGCCATGGAGTGAATCCTAATTCATACCCTTAAGAGCATGCAGAATGTCTGAAACATCTTTGCTCTTCCAGGCTTTCTCTTGTGGGGGTGCTGCTTTTCATCCAGCTGCTGAATTTTCTGAGTCACATATATTCTTTAGATTCAGAGAGGGAGAATATGGTTTTTGGTGCAGAAAACCAAGAGGGCAGTGGTGGAGGCAGGGAAGGAAGTGCAGAACTTGGAAATGGATCTGGTACCTTCTCAGTGGTGCTGCCTCCAAGGGTGGCATTTGTCCCATCCTGAGGCCCATCTGGTAAGCCCCAGAAACTAGAATCTTTTTCATTTTTCAATTCCTATAAGTCCAGATTGTAATCTGAGAGCAAAAGAAAGGCAGCTCCTTTCAAGGGTACTGCTTGTTTAATCAGTATCACGAACTGGTGATTTGTCATTATCAGTTATGTCTTAAGGTAGGTAACATTGGTTCACAAACTAATTTTAAAGAATAGAGAAATTCTCTTCTCTACTCTCCATTCTCCCAGTCGCCATCTTCTATATCTCAAAATTTAGCTTAGGGCAACGTTCTAAAGGAAAGATTTTCCCAGAAACATAAACAATAGTCTAAGCTGATCCCTAGTCTTCCATTTTCACAAATATGCAAAGCATGGTCTATGGGGGCCCTTTCTCAAGACAGTTGATAGTAGAGGGGTCAGAGAGATAGAGCAGCAAGTAAGGTGTTTGCCTTGTGTGCAAGCTGACCTGGGTTCCATACCCAGCTCCACATATAATCCCCTGAGCCCCACCAGAAATGGTCCTTTAGCTCCAAAACAACAACAAAAGGGGTCCAGAGTGATAGCACAACAGATAAGGTATTTACCTTGCACACGGCCAACCTGGGTTTGATCCTCAGTATTCCATATGGTTCCCCAAGCACCACCAGGACTGATTCCTGAGTGCAGAGCCAGGAGTAACCCCTGAGCATTCCTGGGTGTGACCTCCGCCCCGCCCCCGGAAAAAAAAAACACTACCACCAATCACAAAAGGGCATCCAATATTAGATACCTTGAACCTTGATGAAACAAGTGCAGAAGCAAATTCAAGAAAGCATTACCACTTTCTCCGTCTTCCTCCGAAGGTGAGCCTATCCACAGCCACCCTCATGCAAAACTCTGGGCATTCCAGGACCCAGCCTTCATCAGCAACCCATGTGTGCTGGTCCAGGAGCAGTGGTTCCCAGACATAGCCGTGTCTGCCTGCACAGGTCAGCCCCTGGACCCCATGCTCTGCCTGGACTTTCTCTAGGGGTGACTGTCTCCTCCCTCTCCAACACCTTTGAGTTCTTTCAAGGATGTTTGGTAATTTTTAGTGTCTATACATCTTATATTCTTCTGTTATAGTTATTCCTACATTTTCTACTTATAGATAGGACTGTGTCCTCTGCAAGCAAATAGTTTTATTGTTTTGCTTCTTTCTTTTGAAACTAGAAATAAAATGCCTTTAGTTTTTGTCTATTGCTCTAGCCAGAACTTCCAGCACTAAGCAGAATAGTAGTCGTAGGTGCAAGGATTGTTACCTTGTCCTTAACTTTAAGGTGAAGCTTTAAGCATTTCACCACTGTGAGATGATGTTAACTGTAAAAAACCTTTCCTAGGTTAAGCCAGCTGCCTTCTTGTCCCAGGTTTCACTATGTTTATCACAAAAGGGGTTATACTTTGTTCAAGCTTTCTCTGCACCTGTGGGGGTGAGTGTATCTTTTCTTTTTGTTTGTTTGTTGTTGTTTGTTTTGGGCCACACCTGGCAATTCTCAAGGGTTACTCCTAGCTCTTCACTCAAGAATTGTTCCTGGAGAGCTTGGGAGACCATATGGGATGCTAAGGATCAAACCCCGATCTGCTGTGTGCAAGGCAAATGCCCTACCAGCTCTACTATCATTCCAACCCTGGATGTGTGTTTTCCAAGCCTTTACTAATATGGTTTATGACCAGTTGACTCATGCACTCAACCAACCCTATCTGCTCTACTATCTCTCTGGCACCATCATGTTTGTTTATTTATTTATCTATTTATTGTTTTGGGGCCACACTTGGTGGTGCTCAGGGCTTATTCCTGGCTCTGCACTCAGGGATCACTTCTGGTGGGCTTGCAAGACCATACGGGGTGTCAGAGATCAAATCCAGGTCAGCTTCATGCAAAGCCAGTTCCTCCCCTATACATAGTGCTGTACTCTCAGCTCCTCATGGTTGTGTTGTAAACTTAGGTGGGCTTCACCAGTGAATCTGTATGAGCCTGGACATTTTTCATTTGTTTGTTTTAGCTGAGAGTGCGGGGGTAATTGGTAATTGGTAATGGGGGGGGGGCGGTGGGGGTGAGGGAGCAGTGTTTTCATTTATTTATTTTTTTACTTCTCCTTTAATCTTTTTTTTTCCTTCTTAGGATCTTTTGTAGATGGAGGAAAAATTTTCCTTTTCTTTGCAGTTTTGGTGATTTATGTCTTCCTAGAAATGTTTCCATCTTCCCTAAGTTATGGTTAAAGCCTTAGTAAAGGAGGGTCGTCTCTGTATGCCATGTGAGAGGCTATCAGTGATGGGCTGTTCTGTGGGTATAATCAAATTGATCAGTTTTCATAGCTGTGTTAATAACGAGCATAACCAGTCAGACACAGGAGCAAGGACATGTAACACATATAAGCACAACCCGTGTTCCAGACTGGCAGCCGCTGTGCAGGCCTCCTTTGAGCTGGGCTCAGCAAATTCGGTGGTTCCCACAATCCTCCTCACTCAGGATCCCAAAGCAGCTGCTTTAATTAACCTTTTGTGACTTGATACTTTTGAGTCATGTCCTTTATTTTTTGTAGTTTTTCTGGTCTTTTCTTCCCCATAGATTTCATTTCCATGTGAGGCTTTGCTGCTGGGTGGAGCCAGGGAAGCACCCTCCTTCACAGATAGTCTGAGTCCAGCCCAGAAAGTCACCCAGTGGGGCACCTGGAACTGGCTGTGCCAAGGGGACTCCCTGCCCCATGCCCACGTCTGTCTGTCAGCTTTGTAGGTCTGAGTGAGCCCTCCCCTGCAGAGGGGGGTTGACTCTCTGCAGTCTGTGATGCTTTGTGGAAAGCTAGCGGTCACTTGTTTGCTCTGAACCCTTGGCCCAACTAACCTGCCAATGTGTGTGGTTCCTTCTAGGTCTTCACCTCCAATGGCCCAACCGTAATCATGCCCACCTGGTTCTGCTCTCGGACGTGGTTTTCCCATGTGGGCCCATTTGATGAGGGTGGGAGGGTAAGTATGGGTCCCTGGTGGCCCCTCTCGGGGTCCCGGGGTGCACTGTGGGGGCTCCAGGCCACCCAGGTCGTGGGCTCTGTGCCCTTACCTCCAGTGAAACCTCTTCACAAAGGCCTGCAGCTCATCTGCACTACTCTGAGGCCACACACTGCTCAGGCCCACAGCCCACCGACCCTGTTCTGGTTTAAGGCTGTCTGGGGAAGTGTGGGGTGTAGGCAGGGCAGTGGCACAGTAGACGCGGGGCCTGGAGGGGCACCTTCCCCATGCCCACACCCAGCTGGGAGCACTTTTCCCACACTGGTCTCAGATTGAGGGGCCAGGGCTGGAGCTGCCTTCTCTCACCTCCTGGACAGTCTTGGAGTTCATGCTGTCACCACCAGCGAAGAAGCAAATCTCAGGGCTAAGTGGTTTGTTTCCCTTAAATGAGACTGTGGGATGGGGCTGTCAGCCTTCACGACCTTGATCCTGATGAGGCTGGTGGACCAGGCACACAGCAGAGCCTTTCATGCTCTGAGCCTTTTCCTTGGACCTTCCTTTCCTCTCCCCGTCTCTCACATCACTTCGTTTGGAGGGAGAAGCCAGCTCCTCTGCTCTCCACACTGGACCATCCATCTGGACCACCTCCCCATGAGGTGGAAACAGCAGCACTGTTTCCCTGTCATGGCTGAGCTGAGGATGTAAACCAGGGTGTAAACCAGGGCTGCCCAGGCCAGCTCACCCGTCAGGCTGCCTCATGCCCAGCTGTACCCACTGAACATGCACGCAGCTCTGTCCGGCACCTGTTCTTATGCAGTTGGAATCAGGAGGCTCCAGCTCACCTCCCCATGGAGGAATCCAGCTCTCAACCTTAGGTCCCTGTCTCTCCATGGTCACACAGAGAGGTGCCCCTCAGCGGGAATCCAGGTCTCAGTAATGCAGAGGCCAGGCAGAGGGCCCTCCTGGAGGCTTTCTCCCTGCTTCTGCTGTGAGTGTCCAGTGAGTTTCTGTGTAGAAGGGTGAGGGAGATTGGCACAGACATGCCGCAGGAAACACGAACTCTGGCCCTGACACATCCCGACGCCATAGTGGGGTAGGAAGCTGTCAGCCTCCGAGCCAGATTCTGCCTGTGTAGAAGAAAGACCATCCCTGGGCTTCAGGAAGTAGCTCTGAGGCGTGTGTTCAAGCTCAGAGCTGGGAGTATCCCCCAGAACCCCAGGAATGGGCAAGAAAACACAAGCAAACCTTTCCATGCACTTCAGCGCGCCCCAGCTCACAGGCATCCAATAGTGATGGTGCCTCGGCCCCACACCCACAGCTCTCCTCTGACCTCAATCCCCCACTTCCGGTAGACACTTTTCTCTCTTGAATTTCAGGCTCAGGGTCTCCTTGCCTTCTCCCTGCTCCTTGAAGAGGGGGATTTCACTTTTCCTGCTGCTCCTCTCAACTTGGGGAGGGTGACCTGGCTTTTCCAGAATGGGGTCTGCAGGGTCTGGGGACAGAGCTCTGTGCACCAGTGACATCAGCTGTCCCAGGCCCACATGAGAGGCTGTGAGAGAGGAGCACTAGGCTCAGAGCAGCTGCTCCTGCATTTCCGTACTTCTATCTTGACAGTTCCCCGGGTGCCTCCTAGCAGCCAAGTCTTTTTGCCCCAGCCACGCTGGGGCAGCAGGGGATGTTGTGAACTTGCTGTCACCTCAAGTGTGGAGAGGTGGTTGGGCCCTTGCCCTGAATGTGTGTCTTCCTTCTCCCACAGGGCGTGCCTGAGGACCTGCTTCTCTTCTACAACCACCTCAGAAAGGGCGGTGGAGTCTTCCGCGTGGACCGCAGCCTCCTCCTCTACCGCTACCACCTGAGCGCAGCCACACACTCCGTCCTTGAGTTTGTTCATGATTTCTGACTGGTCACACTGAGGGTGGCTGGTTTTGGTGGGGCGGGCCCAGCAAGTGTGGGCTCACAGCTCTGAAGACGGGGGGGGGGGGGGGGGGGGGGGCGGGGGAGCGGGGGGAGGTGCAGCAGGGATGCATGAGGGCATGCACTGGGTCACATGGGTATACACTGGGTCACGTGGGTATCACTGCATCACGTGGGCGTGCACCGAGTCACGTTGACATGCACTAATTCATGGGTGTGTACCAGGTCACCAGGGCATCACTATGTCATGTGGTGTTCACTGGGTCAGGTGGGCATTCAGGGTCATGAGTCCTTGCACTGGGTGGCACTGTAGGTGCCCACAAGTCTGGTCCTCCCTTGCTTAGAGCGCCAGCTTTCTCCAGCTGAGTGCTGTGCTCCTCCAATGGTCACCTCAGATGACGGGGCACCCCCTTCTCCAGCCAGATCCCTACTCAGAGCCCCTCCCCCCATCCTCCTTTCCTCTCCTCGGATGTGACCCACAGTGGATGAGCCACTTATCTGGGTATAAGCCGAAGGCTGCATGAGGGAAGGAGCGGTGGAGTGCAGACAGAGGAAGCCATGGAAGGGCGTGTGTTTACTTCTGTATGTGTGTGCGTGTTCTTGTGTGCCCACGTGCTGTGTCCATGCACGTGTTCAGATGTGTGTCCCTTCACATATGTGCATACACAGGACAGTGAGGGGGTATGCTGTGTCCATGTGCATGTGTGCGTGTTCACGTGTGTGTCCCATTTTTCTTATAGTTACAGTATGTGTGTTTCTTCTTCAGCTTGCTCTAGGAGAGGGGGACAGGGGCCTGCAAACAGTCTTATCTTTGAGGGCTCTGAATGTGTAGCGCTTGGCTGAGGAGTCTGTTTTTGGAGGTGCTATCTTCCCCTGGGTGACCCTTCTGTCTCCTGACATGGGGTTTCTGTCACAGGGACACTGACAGTGTGCATGATGGCTGCGATCCCAGAGATGGGACAGCCTTGAACTTCGTGTAAATGCTATTCATGTTGAAACTCACTGTTTTCCACATTTCAGGGAAAAAACTTGTCTCATGCTTTCTCTTATGTTAACCCTAAATATTGCTACAGTAATTTTAGTGAGAAATCAACCATTTGGCATCTGATGGTGCAAGGTGATCTGCAGGCTGGGTGAAAAGGTCATTTTGCAGGACACTGTAGTGGTCCTGAATGTGATAGGCCTAGCCATAGGGTTTCAAAAGCTATCCAGCACAAACCGACCATAATAAAGGGGAAAATAGGCAAATCTACAATTACAACTGGAGATTTCATTCGTTTTGTTTTTGGGGATACATCCAGCAGTGCTCAAGGTCTACCCCTGGCTCTGCATTCAGATGTCATTCCTAGTGGGGCACAGGGGATCAAATGGGGTACAGGAGATTAACCTGGGTCTGCCCACTTTGGAGTTCGGTTTTAACATCCCTTAGTAATCTGCAGAAAGCAAGGTTGGCAGGGATGTTCAGATCTACAAATAGAGAGGATTTAAGCAACATGGTGAACAAACTTGACCTGATGAATATTTAGATGAAATTGCAGAATTCTTATAAAGTTCTAGGTAGTATTTGGGGCTTTAAAGCAAATTTGAAAAAAATTCAACTGATGGCAGTCTTGCACTAGCCAGAATTAAGCTATAAATCATTAAGCCAACTTGAAATATTTGGAAATTAAGCAAGGGGGTGGGGAGAACCAACTGATATCTGGGAGTGAATATTATTTGGATTCAATTAACTCCCAAGTTACAAAAGCATAATATTAACTGTCTTCCTGTGTCCATAGAAAAAGGACATTGCTTTAAAGTAAACGAAGCAAAAGTTGGGAAAAGAAATATTTAACTTACAAGTTCAGTGTCTTTAGAAGGATCTGACCTTACAAGTTAACAGAATCTGATTAGGGGAAAAGGGTGATTAACTGGTTGGGGAGGAGAGCACAGAGAAGAGTTTTACAGAGGAATGGGAGTGACTCAGGAGCACTGTGATGGGTGTAACCCAATAAACATAAGCTCCTGTGGCAAGAGAGAAAGGACAAACCAACATTATCCTAAGGAGTGTGTGTTGGGGGGGGGGGGGGTTAGGGGGTGCACCCTGCCGAGTGGCTCCATGTTCAGAGCAGGGCAGGCCTTGGCCCTGACAGTCTGGGATCCTATTGTGCAGGGCCCTGAGCTACAGTCAGAAGGTGGGAAATGAGCAGGTCACTATTTCCCATTAGAAATGTTTGGGGATTTGACTAGAAGTTTGTGGGGTTTTTTGTTGTTGTTGTTGTTTGTTTGGTTTTCTGGCCAGAAATACACTATGGGAGTTGAATCTAAGGATTAAGTCAGCCCCTGGTAAAATTAGGTTGTTGTTTTGTTTCGGTTTTGGAGCCAAACTTGATGGTGCTCAGAGCTTGCTTCTGGCTCTGTGCTCAGTGATCACTCCTGGCAGTCCTGGGGGACCATCAGGGTTCTTGGGGTTAGAAACAAGGTGGGCTACGTGAAAGGTAAGCACCTTACCTGCAGTAGTAACTTTCCAGCCCCTAGTTTCATTACTCCTGTGTCATTTCATTTGAAATCATAGTTTTCATGAACCTTCTTCAATGACCTTGAGGACTTATTTAACTGTGTTTGTCAAATATATGGAATTTAACAAAATCAGTTTATGTTAAAAAATGTCATATCTTTAAAAGATGATAATAGGAGCCGGAGAGGGAGTAAATATCAGGTTTGTGGGACAGGAAGACAGTTCAACGACACAAAGCACATGTTCTGCATGTGGAGGCTCGGAGTTCAAACCTTGCCCCAGGGCATATGACCCCAAAGCGTTTTGCTGGGAGTAGCCTCCAGGTACCAGTAGATACCATAATGCAATAAATAAATAGGTTAGTAATTTTTTGAAGACTTTCTGTAAAGAAAAGCCAAGCCAGATGGCTTCACTGATGTATTCTACCAAGAATTTCAGGAGAAATAATATCAACCTTGCAGAACCTCAGAAAATAAAAAGGGGGGGAAAGTCCACATGAGAGGGAGTGCCTAAGCTAGCCAGACTAGACACTGAAATGCCACCAAACATCTGAAGATAGCTGTGCGGCTGGTGCGCTCACATGCTCCCCAGACCCTATCGGGAAGCTACCGCCTAATCGAAGACGGACCTAAGGCATTCCTGTGGGCGTACCACAAACCAACCATGACACCCCTCTTCATACTTCCAGGGAGTCTCAGTCATGAGGTAACACACCATGTCATTCGTCTTAGTGCCTGGGGGTCACAGCCCCATCGAAGCCCCTTCCCAGGGACCTCTGTGAGGTAGTGTGGCCTTCAGCCCTGCTACCCCAGTGCCCCCAAGGTCGAGGAGGGAACAGTGCCTGGGGCAGGGTTCAATTTTCTCCCCCTCCCAGAGCAAAAGTCAGAGTGCTGAAGGGTGGGGGACTATCAGAGCTTCCTGTCCTGGTCACTTAGCACCTCACTTCTAAGTGCCTAACCCATAAAAACAGTCCACGAGGGACTTGAAGTAAAGGAAGGTTTCTAAGAATACAGGTGAGTTTCCACAGGCACCCGAGTTCTAGTCACTGTGTGAGGAAACGGGCACCTCAGGGACAGTCTCAGAGATGGATGAGAGCTGTGCAGGCAGCAGCCGGTGCACTCCTCTGGTTCCCCACCCCCACACGGAGACGGGGTTGTGGGAGGTGGGCAGGGGTGGGTGTTTCCTGGGACAAGCCTTTCCCTCCTGGAGTGTTGGCAGTGTCTCACAGCGGACACTTTCAGTGACGTCAGTGCTGACTGTCCTCAAAGCAGTGGACAGACTGGGGCTCTCCTGGTGGGCTTTGAGGCATCTGCAGGGATTCAGTTCCCAACAAGCCCGAGGGTGTAATTAAAGCTCATTACTGTGAGGTTTTGCCACTCACAGCTCAAAAGATTTTAATCCGATACAGAAACTCACATTAGATCACTCTTTTGTGTGGTGGGTGGTAAAGAAAGGGGGAAACTTCTCAACATAAAAGAGGGATTTTTCACAAGTGAACAGGCTGAGGGCATGGGCAGCACAGCTCCCCCTGGCCAGCTGCCTGGTCCGGTCCTTCCTGTGTGCTCAATGCCACAACACCCTGGGAAGTGGCATGGGCATAGCCAAGTGCGATTGACAAACTCTTCATAGAACTGAGGTACAGATTCTTAAGAAGGAGACCATGCATGCGAATGGTCAGGATGATGGCAGGATTCCAGATGTCCCACGTTTCAGTCTGTAGATCATTCGCAGCCTGTAGAAGATTGTAGATGTGCCAGCTTCCATAGTTCTGCTGGTTTGTGCTCAGCCACCTTCGTATGCCACTTCTAAGTGTTCGTCTTCATTATGGATTCTGGTAGGGCTGTTTCTGTGGGGAAATGATCATCACAGCTGAGAAAATAATCTCTTACCACTGATGACAAATGCTCTCCATAAAGAAGAAAATTTCCATCAGCCCAGAAAGAGTTCAGTGTCCTAGCTACCTTTCATACCTGTTACCATGGACTAGATCTGCCTGCCAGGGATGACCTGCGTCGAACCCCACTCCCTTTCCGTGTCTGGCATCCTTCACAAATCACTTTTTTGGGACATTCATCTGTCCTGGTAGGTGCCTGGGCCACTCCCGGGTCTTAGCTCCAGCAACAGTGGTATTTGTTGAGTTGTTTCCACCAACTTGCATAAACAGACATGGAATTGCTGGATTGCAGGGCAGGTATCACTTCTGTTATTAACACGATGCCAAACGGTTCTCCCATAAAAGCTGTCACTGTCCAAGAGCAGTGTGTGAGTTCTGAGCTCCACATTCCTCCTTGCCAGTAGTTGAAACTACCAACCATTCATGTGACCCTTCCAGGGCCCTGTGGTGCATCTACTCAAACCCACTGATCTCACTGGTGCTCTTGGACTCTCAGATCGGCAGACCTGGGGCTGAGGGCACGGAGCCTGCCCCTCCAGGTCTGCCAGGCAGCCTTGTCATCTGGGCAGCTTCCACAGGGAACATAGCCAGTGGCAGCTCGTGGTCACTGTGTCCCAGCCACCTGACTTTTGTGCTTCCATCCATGATCACCCTCTTGACAGTTGGTGCAGCTGCAGGGATGGGGCTGGAGCTGCCCTGATGGGAGAGGACCAAGGGGATGCAGACAGGTGGAGAAGGGGCGGAGCAGGTCTGGGCTGCCCAGGTTACACCCCCACCCCACTCTATAGGACCACCATCTGGATCCACCGCGTCCGCTTTCTGGAGGAGCAGGTCCTGCCACACTGGAAGGCCTTCACCATCTGGAACGCCGGCAAGCAGGGACGCCGGCTCTACCGAAGCCTCACAGCTGAGTCCCGAAACAAGGTTGGCCCCGGCCCCCGCCTCTGCACTCACTGCCCGCTGCCTGCTCCCATCCCCACCCTCCTGCCCCCTGCCTGTCCCCATCCCCATCCTCACTGCCTCCTACCTGCCCCCATCTCTGCCTTTGTGCCTTCACTCCACCCTCACTTTCCCCTACCTCCCCCTCATCCCTCACTCTCACTGCATCCTACCCGCCCCCACCTCAACCCTCCTGCCCCCAACCTCTCACTGTTCCATACCTGCTCTCATCCCCACCCTCATGCCCCCACCCCATCCTCACTGTCCCCCACCGTCACATCCCCCCATAACCCTCATTGGCACCTTGTGTTCTCCCCAGGTGGCCACTTTCTGTGATGTGGATGAGAACAAGATCAAAAAGGGCTTCTACTGCTACGAGGACTCTCAGGTGTGTGGGGAACGAGCACATTTGGATGTGATTAGTTGCCTTCATGGTCCACCACAGCCCCATCACTGGCTCCGCCCACCGCAGCTCTGTCACTAAAAGTCTGTCCTGGGCATCTGAGAAGGATACTGGGCAAGGACTGTAGAGCCATTGGTGCTGCTTACAGGTGTGGCCCTTCCTCCCCATCTGGGGTCAGTTATGGGGTGGCCAGGTGGGGGAGGGCCCAGGCTACAGATGCCCACCTGGCAGCACTGTAGGGAGCCAGCATGGAGGACAGTGTGGGAGCAGAGCCATGCATGATCTTCTCTCCTCTCAGGAAAGGCCCAAGCCCCGGGTTCCGATCCTGCACTTCCGAGCTGCCCGGCCGCCCTTTGTGATCTGTGTGAAGCTGGTGAGTGTGGCACTGTGGCCAAGGGGTAACTTGCTGTCCAGCAAGGACACACACTGGCTGTGGGAGGACCTGTTTGTGTTCAGGCTGACGCAAGTTCCCTTACAACTTGAAGAAACAAACAGTGTACACTGTGGTTTGCTGTGAGCTCTGGAGAGAGCCCCTCTCATATCCAGGGTTACTGCTTGGCATGAGGTCATGGCTGGGGTGTCTCCTGGAGTGCCATCTGCCTCCAGTCACGACTGGGAGAGTCCTAAGTCTACTCTTGTGGATTTATGAACTGGCAGATAGCACAGTGATTAGGACACCCAACTGGCTTCAACACACAAGCATTCCTGAGCTGAAGGCAGCTCTGGAGGCCCTAGCATCGCATCCTCAGACCCCACATTGAACCGCAGGCCAACTCAGAATCACCAGTGGGACCCCCAGGCTTCTGGAGTACTGATTGTCACCTCCGTCACCCCCACCCCAGTAGCTGTAAATTCCTCAGTACAGAAGTGAGCCTCCCCTTGCCAGTTTATTGAGGGACCTTTAGACTACACACACTGTCTGCTGCAGCATCTTGTGGGCACATAATCCATGGCCGTGTCCACGGTCCACCCAGCATACACCCAAGTCCCTCTCTTCTGACTCTGTTCAGATCAGGGTCTTTGCAGTGTTTTATGGGTAATGTGTTTGTCTTTCACATCTGCATAACACATTTTTATTTCCCTTTCTATAAACTATTTTTCACCGGTTTATATTTTCCTTTATATATAAAAAAGTATTTGATAGGGGCTGGAGTGTTAGCACAGTGTGTAGGGCATTTGCCTTTCACTCTGCCAACCCGGGTTCGATTCCCAGCATCCCATATGGTTCCCCGAGCATCACCAAGAATAATTCCTGAATGCAGAGCCAGGAATAAGTAACCCCTGTGCATTGCCGAGTGTGACCCAGAAAGCAAATAAGAAAGTATTTGATATGTGGCAGATTCAGATTTTTCTGTCATTCAACAAAATTTGTATTCAGAAATGTTTTCATTTAGATATAATGTACATTTTTTGGTGTGTGTTGTTTTGTTTTGGGCCATACCTGGCAATGCTTAGGGGTTATTCCTGGCTCTACGCTCAGAAATTACTTCTAGTGGTACTCAGTGGGTCCCACAGCATGCCAGAGATAGAACCCAGGTCAGCCACGTGCAAGGCAAAACCCTGAACCACTAATGTGCTGGCCCCTCAACATTTTCCCTTATGGTTTTTTTTTGTTTGTTTGTACTTTTGATGTTCTTTCTAAAATTAATTCCTCATTGTGAAATCTTAAAGTCCATCTGCTTCTCAATTTTTGATAGTTTTTGGTCCAAGAGTTTTGTTATAAAGACAAAAGGACCCATGTATCTTTCCATTTGCATACTCAGTTGTCCTGTCCTCCTTTTGAGTCCTCGTAAAAGTAATCCCACTTCTTTTCCACCTCCCTTATATTTTGTATGTGAATATACACACAGATCTCTCTGTTCTCTGAATTTGTAGATCTGTTAATCTGCCTTTCTGTGTAACTGCTCCATTAATCATTGCAACATTCACCACTGAGGAGACTCTTCTTCCCTCACTCTTCTCTCGGAATTTTCCTCACATTCTCTTAATAAATGTGGAATTAGAGAATGGCCTATGTGTTCCAGCACCTTTCGTACCTAGTTTTCTTTTCTCTAGCTCTTAGTAAAAACTCTGCAGGCACCTCTTCCATGATAAATGAGGTGAGTGCAAACTCAGCAGCTGGACTAGTTTCAGGGAGAGCCCAGCACTGGCCTCCCCCAAGAACTGTGCTCACATGCACCCCCAGAGCCTGTGGCTCAGCACTGCCCATGCAAGATAGTTCACATGGCACCGTCTGACATGTTCTCAGGCACATGGTGCTTGTGAGGTCATCCGTTCTGGGCATCTCCACACTCAGTCCACAGGAGTAGGCCCCGGACCAGAGCCAGGCCCCAGTGCTCAGCATGGGGCTGACCAGGAGGCATGCCCAGGCCTCGGGCTCACCACTGGCTGGGTGTCTTCCCCGCTTGGGGGTGCAGTGGTCTCCAGCTTTCTCTGCTTCCTGAGGCCGAAGGTCTCCACCTCTTGATGGGCAGGTATTTCTACTGGTGGCTCATTGTGTCTCCTGAGGTCTGTGGTGCTGTGTGATGCGAGTTGTTGGTGGTGTGAGGCCCGTGCTGGGAACACACCCAGGGCTGACTGCCAGGCCAGTGACAGGCCCGCCCCTCTCAGGGACAGTCCCATTTCCCAGGTCCAGTGCTTGTTGTTAATGACCTCTGGGCTTGGCCCTTGAGATGGATGTTTCCTCTGAAAACCTGAAGAGCAGGCTGGGAGGAAGAAGAGGCTGTTGGGCAGAGGGTGGAGGTAAAGAGACTGAAAATTCTCACCATGAGACAGTTAAAACAGTTACAAGGTTGTTCATGATCGGGTTTCAGTCATACCATGTTCCAATACCCATCTTTTCACCAGTGCTTATCCGAGCACCAGTGTCCCTAGTTTCCCTCCCTGCCAGCCTGCCTCTATTGGCAGGCACTTTCCTTCCTTTCTCTCTCTCCCCCTTTTATTCTTTTAGGCTCTGTGGTTTGCAGTACTGTTACTGAAGGGTATCATGCGTATCACTTTACCTCCTTTCAGCACCCAGTTCGATATTATCCAGAGTAATCATTCCCAACTAGCATGGTCATAGTGCTCCCCTCTCTCCTTCCTACACTCCCCATCCCCTCCCCCCAGCAATGTTTTTCACTTAAATCAGCACCCAGTAGTAATGGCGCAGGCTGTCCCTGGACTGGACCCCAGATCATATGGTATGTTACCACATACCTTGTATTACCAGGCCCTCCTTGGCCCTGCTCATGTCTTTAGTGTCCAGTTAGTGAGGTTGGAGGAACCTGAAACCTTCAGGTGGGCGTCAAGGCCAAGTAGACACCAGGGACCTGCCCAACTCCCCCAGCTGAGGTGGCCTCTGAGACATCAGGGTCACATCAGCTGAGAGCAAGCCCAGCTCCTGGAGCCTGAAGCTGGTTTTTGTCCCCAGGGGCATGAAGAGAGGAGGCCCAGCATAGTCACGGGCAAGGACAGGCTGAGCAGAGGGACCCACAATCTCCCACTAGGGGCACCTCCAAAGCCCTCTCCCGGTAGGACACCAGCTGAACACACTCACAGTTCCATCTGGGCCCTGTCTTTTCTCAGGAGTGCATAGACCACCTGACAGGCAGCCTAAATCCTGGACCCTCTTCTGACCAACCTGGGCCAGTGAGACCTAGGTCAAGCTAGAGCTGTCCACCTCTTCCAACAGGACCTCACAGGAGGTGCCTTCGAGGACAACCTCAAGTCTCTGCACCTACAGGAGGGCCTGGACTTTGTCCACTTCAGCTGATGCACAGCAGCAGCCCACAGTTAAGCTCAGACCACCAAGTGGAGCACCTGGAAAAGGGGAGTATCTAGGACCTGCAAACCTGTGTACAGAGCCCTTCTGGAGACCCAGGACTTGGTGATCAGTGTGGTGAACGCAGGTGTGTGTGACCTACATGCTCAAGGCACTAGCGCATAACTGTATACTTGGAGCATTGGTCTTGGGTGCACCTGCATCACTACAACCCTGGTGGGGCTCCTGAGAAGCTCTTGATGCACCCCATCTGTGGCCATTGGGAAGAGTACTGCCTGCGGGGCTGGGGGACAATGCTGGACTGTGCCGCAGCCATGGACGAACGACTGTGGGAGGAGTGATGAGGTCCTGCTGGTCTGTGTGGCAGACTTGGGAGCAGAATGGGATGGGATTACTGTGCGACAGGAACAGGGGTACAGGACCCTCCAGTGGCAGCATGGGACCAGTAAGGGGCCTCTTTGGCATTCTCTGCTTGACCCTAAACTGGAAGTGGGACACAATTAGGGAAGCATTTGGTCACAAACCACACCTGGCTGCTGGAGCTGCTGGAATTCCAATCTAACCTGCGTTTGTGCTGTCTCAGCCCAGAGGCCCTGACTTGAGCATCCATCTGAGCCACATAGTGTTGCCCTTTGTCATCTCACTGGTGCCAGTTTGGAAGGAGACCACAGACAGCCCTGCTGGAGTGTGTGAGGACCTTGGCCCAAGCCTGCGGGTGGTAGCTGCAGGTCCCCAGGCAGAGCTGCACATCTTCTGCATCCCCAGTGTCTGCAGTAGAAACCCGTGGGAGGCTGTAGTCTCAGGAGACACTTCCTAAAGTCTCGTGTCAGAGTTCTTCCCTTTGTGAGTTCTCTGGGTCATTTCAGATCTCCCAGCTCTCTGTATCTGTCCGTTTATCCACAGAGCCCATTTCTCCTCTCGCCTGGAGCAGGTCTTTGTCCCCGGGGTAGTAGTCTTGTTTGGTATTACAGTGCTCAGGGAGCACTCCTGGTGGGGCTCAGGGGACCCTATAGGGTGCCAGGGATAGAGCCCAGGTTGGCCACGTGGAGGGCAAGCATCTTAACCTCTATCTCTGGCCCTCTGGATCTTCTAGATTTTTGTCTCATTTCTAGTCATTTTCAAAATTCAAGTTCTGTATTATGTCTGTTATCACCATTTATTATCAATCTGATTCTGTTCTATCAATCTTGCTAATGATGCCCTTGTCACTCCAGGGGTCCCTGCACTGTCAGGGTCAGTGTCCTACATGGCACTTTTCAGTATCCACAGGTGCAGGCAAAAGTATTGTGACTGTTCTCTGGGGACCTATTGCGGATGACACTATTCTTGGGGTTTCCTTTGGTGGAGTTTCTACTTGCCCCCTCTGCCCCAGAAATGACCTCGGTCTTCTGCCCCTCACCTTGCACATGGCTCACTCCTAGGCTCGGGCAAGCACTTCCCTGCACCATTGGCAGCCCAGCATCTGCTGCTTGTGTCGCCCACATGCAGGACCCCACCACTGAGGTCCGACTCTGCAAGCTGCCAGACAGTGGATGGACTCAGTGTCATCGGGTGGCCTCCATGTCCTGAGACTTCCTTTGGCATCCAGGGTTTTAGTTAAAACCAGATCCTTCTCACAGCAGCTCTACTCTCTGGTATCTCCTATTCCCACCAGTGTGGCCCCACATGACCTGAGGCTAGACGTAGGCAAGACCCCCTTTTGGATGTGCTTCACCAAGCATGGAAGCCAGGCTTCTCCTTCCGGGGTCAGAGGTCAGCTGCCAGTAGCTGTCGTGTGGGGCCTCAGGTAGGAGCATTTCCCTTTGCTGAACACTAAGGGTGGGGTGATAGCACAGCGGGTAGGGCGTTTGCCTTACAAGCGGCCAACATGGCCGACCCGAGTTCGATTCCTCCGCCCCTCTCGGAGAGCCCGGCAAGCTACCGAGAGTATTCGATATGCCAGACACAGTAACAACAAAGTCTCCAATGGAGACGTTACTGGGCCCGCTCGAGCAAAAGGGTGGGGTGAGGGTTAGTGGTCATGGTGAGCCCTGGCATGACTGGCCTCTACCGTTCCTTGGGGGGAGTCTCATGGCTCTGAATGCTGCTACAGGAACAAGACCCCAGGGCCCAATCCCAGGCTTGGTCCCCTCCCCGCTCAGGCTGTGCCCTTGGGGTGTTTGACACAGAGCAAGTGACACAAAACATTCAGTACATGATTTATAAGATGCAAATTTAAAGCAAAGACGGAAGCACCAGGTCCCAGGCACTGATGGTGCTGTCCCCTGCTGGCCACATCCAGGTGCTCGCCACCAGGCAGGCGCAGACTCAGCTTCGGGTATTGGACTCAGCGAACAGTGGGCTGCAGAGAGCACATCACCATCAGCATCACGTCACCCCGACATCCAGGAAGCCTTCCTGCACTGCGCACCAACTTTACCTAGTCCGGCCAAAAGTCCTACTGAACTCTGATGAGCACATGGACTCAGTATATGATGCTCAGCCAGTCTGTCTCCATGGACAGCATCCAGGGAGAAGACAAGGGCAGAAGGTGAAAAGGTCTTCTCTGAAATAATTTGCTGATGGAGAACATGTGAACCACGAACAGCCAAGCAAGAGGTGGGGGCCCGCCAGGAGAAGAGCACCCAGAGGACAGAGACGTACAGTAGCAGCTGGGAACCCACTTCAGTGGCGACTCAGCAGATGGACAGAGCATTCTAACCACCAAGACAAGTCTTTTTCTGTCCATTTGTTTCCAAGCCCCATGTGGCTTCCTAGTGAGGAGCTAGGATGACTTCCATGGGGCAGGCAGCAGAAGCCAGAAGTGGGCCCACGAGCCCCAAGCAGCGTGTGGAGAGAAGCTCCCGAGAGAGGCTTCCCCGAAGCAGGGACCACGTGGCTCTCCCCAAGCATCTCGAGCTCCATGGCACATATGGACAGCCTGGAAAGGACATATGGCCAGGCCCTCAGCCTGAGTGAGGCTTGCTCAGGAAGCTGCTCCCACCGCTGCCAAGTTGCTTCCAGCAGGACCAACAGGGATGGGGCGGCCCCACTACAGGGCCCACTGTGACACACAGTTGCTCCTGGGACAGCACATGAGCACCAGGGAATGTAGGGACACAGCCACACTCTGAGAACAGACTTGATCGCACTGCCTAAGGAGAAAGCAGGCACCAGGATACCGTGGCCAGGCTGCTGCGATGACGGGTGAGGTTCCGACGGGGAAGGTGGGCTCTTATGAGCAGTTCGGCCAGGCAGAGGAGAGACACCACGCAGAGCAGAGGGAAGCCCAGCCGAGAGGGTGACGGGACCGCAACAGGTCAAGGCGGAGAAACAAGCTATCCGAGAACAGTGGGGCAGTTAGAGAAAGGCACCATGCTCTTCTCCAGCCCCTGCAGCCACCCAATGTGTGTGGACCCATGCACTGCCTGGCCGGCCCCCACCAGCACGCTGGACACACATCTGCTGTGAAGGACCGGACTCCACAGCACAGATGTGAGGCTCTTGTGGGAACACATGGTCCCTGCAGACTCCGGGACCCGGGACTCACACTGCTGGGCACTGGCCTCCATGGATGCTACTCAGCAATATGCTCGTGTCCAGAGCGAGGCAGGGTTCTGGCATGTGTCAGGAAGAGCACAGGTGGAGGGCAAGGACCCACCCACTCCAGTCCCCAGGAGGAACAGGTCATGGGGCAGGGATGGACAGCTAGCTAGCAGGCTTGGGGACCCTGAGGGAGATGGGGTATGTGTGGTAGGGGGATCTGTCGGCAGAAAAGATCCCTGGGACCAAAGGCTGGGCCCCCCTCAGCAAAGGACTTAGGACAGGAATGAAGAACATTCAGGAATGAAGAACATTCAGGACAGGTACCCAAAAGTCCCAAAGAGGAAGGAGGGATCACCTTGGATACCAGTTGAGGTCTGGGCACATCCAGGAGGTCACAGAGGCGGTTCCGCTGGTCCCTCACCGTCGGCAGCTCCGCATCCCTGGGGTGAAAGGAGCTGCCTTAGCTAGAGCAGTTGGGTCAGGGCCCCACACAGACAGCTTGATTGTCACAGGAAATGCGGGGCCCCAGGAAACCTGCAGGAGCACAGGCTGTGGGATAGAGCAGCCCTCCACTATCACCCTTTCCTCTCTGGGGCCGAATAGCCAAGCCTCAGAGCTGGCAGCTGGCACAGAGTGTTCCTGTGTTTGTGGGAAGTGGCCCTGTGCCCATCCACGTTGCTGATGTAGCTTCAGAGGCAGGAGCTACCCGCAGAGTGCCCTTGACTTCTCTGACTCCTACAGGGGCAGAGCTGGCCAGATGGGACATCAAGAGCAGCTTGAAATGGGAAAGGAGGCACCCGATACTCCACAGCCCATCTCCTTGCCTGTGCCCTGCCTGCCCCTGTGGTGTCAGTGGGGTGTACGCCCAGAAGCACGAGGTGGACTACTGCCACTCATTCTGGCCCCAGAGCAGAGCCACTGCCAGCTCGGAGGCCTCAGGGCCAGGAAGGGAGGTGGCCCCAGGTGCTGCCTATCCCGCTCAGAGATGCTGCCCCAAGGAGCTGTGACTCACCAGGCCGTATCACTGAGCACAACCAGGACTTCATCTAGGACATCGGTGCCCACGATGTCACTATAGGTAAGCATCATTTCATACACCTGGCTGGCCGTGGTCTTCCGGATCTGGAGAGTAAAGAATACACAGAGGGAACGTGAGCCCACCTAGAGTCCAGTGCACTCAGGGAGACCCCAAAAACTTGGGGCAAAGTTTACCAAGAAAGTAAACGGTCAAAAGTTAAGTATGTGGGAGACACACCCACAAACCACCTCCAGCTCAGCTATATAATTGGAGGCATGGCCTCTCTGGGTCCTGATCGAACTGCTTAACGGCCATGATCCCAGAGACTCAGAAACAAATCTTGAAACCCAACAGCTTTTGGCAAAAATGCGTCCGGTCCCTGCAGTAGGTTACCGGTGCTGGGCCAACCCAGGTGGGAATAGGTTTCATGCCTTGGCCTGTTCCCCCTGGCAGCCTGGTGGCCGCCATCCTCCAGACGCCACTGGACAATCAGGTTCAGGGAGTCCTTGGGTTCCAGTGCACTCAGGGAGGCCAGAACCTATTTCCAGCGGCTCTTGGGGTGAGCTGGGGAGGGGTGCGCTACAGCACCAGCACCAGTGACCCACCTTGAGATCTCTTATTAAGCAAAATGCTCTCCTTAGGTATGATCATTTTCTCACTCAAAAGCAAGAAATGCAGGGCCCTGGAGTAGAGGTGGAGGCAACTGTGAGGCTACTGTACCAGAGCGAGGGGCCCTCACGGAAAGGGGGCAGCAGAGCCTGGGCCAGGACAGCACTGCCCACACACCTTGTTGATGCTGCTGTGCCTCCCCAGGGCCCCACTCACCATGGGGAAAGGGTGGCAGAGGAGCAGGAACAGCTGCAGAAGCACATTCTTCCTCACCGCACCCGGGAACTGCACCATCCCACAGAACCTGGGACAGTGGGGACATGCATGTGAAGGCGTGTCCCATATGGACATCCCCGGCCCGCAGGTGCTACTGGGTGGAAACTCACACTGCAATGCTTGACAGCAGCTTCTGGATGTCTCTGGACTTCCTGGTCTCTCTGCAGAGCTCCAGCAGCCTGACACAGAAGGGGTGGCTGCGGGGATTGCAGGGCCCCTACGTGAGCTCTCAGCACTGAGCCTGGGCACACACCTGCCTGGCTCCCACCCCCCACTGCCCACCTTCCCCAACACAGGCTGAGAGCCACACTGAGGACAGGGCTAGGGCAGCAGGAACTCCCCAGGCAACTGACAGTCCTGCCCATCAGCAGCGACCACTACCTCCTGACCCACAAACACTTTGGACTCACAGCAGAGCGTGAGGGCACTGGGCATGCTCTGGACTCATGGGCGGAGTGGGAGGGCACAAGGCACTCCTCTCTTCCCACCAACTGCAATCACTGAGGGTGACCAGAGGCAGCATCTCCCCTGACCAGACCCTGTCATTGGAGAGTCAAGAACTTGATCCCTCTCCCTTACCCCAGTCCATGCTGGAAACAGGAGATGGTGAACCAGGGCAAAAAGAGACACCACTAGAATGAACCCAGCCAAAGATCTGAGCAAGTGCGCATTTGACCACCAGACACTGGAGTACAAGCAGAAGCCAAGGGCTGAACCACGCTGCTTCCAGGGCACACAGCTGGCAGTCTCACCCAGGCTCATCACAGCAAATGGGCAGACCAGGGTGCACACCACACACAAGGGTCAGGGAATAGGCGTGTGGCGCCCTGTAACTGGGTCTCTGTCTGCAGCCAGCTCAGGAGAGTCGATCTCAGAGAAACACTAGCAGGGCAGAGTTCAGACCAAACAGTCCGGGTGAAAAGAAAGTGAAACAAATATATGGGTCCGCGTCTAAATAGACCAATGTGGCCTTGTTCCTAGTAAGCAGAGGATCCCGAGATACAGGCCATTTAAAACGAAATGCCTACACTGGCAGATACCAAACCAAAACACTTTCAAAATAAGGTAGAAATTGGCAAAACTAGAGAAGCAAAAAAAGTGCTATATTTGAGCCAAAGCAGTACTCAAAGGCAGAGCCATGCTCTGCACAAGGGGGTCCCAGGTTTGAGACCCAGCGTGGCATGGCCTCCTTTCTGAACACTGCTGGAAGTGCCTCCCACCCCCCGCCCCAAAAACAAGGAAAAAGGAAAGTGCTCTTTTTGCACAAGGAAACATCTCTATCATTTTTAAGATTTCAAACCAGGAAAATACACGCTAACATCTTACATAGCGGTAATGAAGCCAAGCCATGCTATGGGTGAGAGGGCAGCGCCCCCCAGCCAAGGCACTGTGGGGGACACTATTATGTCAGTCAGCACAAAGCACCATGGACAAAAGAGACATCCAAAATATGTTGAATTCTAAAAATAAAATTGATTGAGAACCAGCAGTCTTTAAACAGACCCTTCACTGTGACACACTGACCCTCCCAGGCGCACAAGAAAATACCCATCATCCCCATCATTCTAGGGAAAGGCAGATCAAAGGTCAACACAAGGACAGCAACTACCACAAGACAAGCCATGACCAGTCGGGGACACGGGGCTGTCAGAGCTGCAATCAGAAGCTCACACACCTCACACTTTTCTGACCCTGGGCCTTCGCCATGAACACAGAAACTCACTCAGAGATGGCCACACCCCTACACTCGCTGCAGTGTTCATTTACATAAGCCACAGGATGACCCAAGAGCATAACTGCTAAGTGGAGGAAGTCGTGGTAGGTAGATGCGGTAGAGTCCTGTTAGTGTTCAGGAAAGATGAAATCTTCCGATTCTGCAACATGGAAGGCCTAGACCAGCTTAAATCCAGTAAAATGTCAGACAGTAAAAGGCTCTACACATATACTAGTGAAATTGTAGAATGTCCAAGAAGCCAAACACATGAACCATCAAAACAAACAGGACAGGAGAGAGTACAGCAAGTAGGCACTTGACCTTGCACATGACCCACCTAGGCTCAGTTGACCCTATTGGGAGTGATCCCTGAGTGCAGAGCTAGGAGTAAGTCCTGAGCACTGCCTGGTGTAGCCAAAAAAAAAAAAACAGAAACTCTTCAACTCTTAACACAAGATCATAGGGGAAGGGCGGGGTGTAGGAACAGACAAAGACCAGGTTTGGGGTAAACTAGTCAAGGCTGCCAGGGTCCATGAGCAGCACAGACACGTGGCCCCTCGCTGCCACCACCAGCACCTGTGAACAGTGGCCTTAGCTGCTCACTGAGATACTTACTCTGGCTCCGTGGTGAAGATATCAAAGCACCTATTGGCCAGCATCTGGTCGAGAGTCTTCAGTAGTGGCACAGACACCCTGGGGAATGCACAGGAAGCTCCAGCCTCTGCAAGTGCAGCAGCACCGCAGGGTAGCAGGACTAGAACCCCTGCTGTCCACTTTCCCAGTGGCCACAGACAGCTCAGCTGGTCCCAAGACTCCCCTACAGCTCGCTCTCACATACACGGGGCCAAGAATGTTCAAAACCAGGTTCGACTTCTCATCATGCCCATGGACCACATGCTGAGGTCCTGTCTGTTCCAGTGGGCACTGTGCCCCCCCCCATGTGCCTTGGGCTCCTCTCAGGCCCTGCTCCCCCCCGCCCCCCAAGCCAGCCCCTCACCTGTTGTTCTGAAGGTTGTCTGCAAACACCTGCAGGAGCGTGCTGCTGAACTGTTCCAGAGCACCCATGTCCTTCTGAATCCCCTCCATGAACCCAAAGAGGCTCTGTGTGGAGAACCTGACCTGCAATGTAGACACGGCCCTGAGTCCCCGCCCTGTGTTCTGGTGCTCCTTTGCACCTCACTACCCATGGTGGACACCAGCCAGCAGGGGCCTCACCAAGACCATGAGCGAGCAGTGCCGAGTCCACTGTACCACATGCCTTTGAGGCCCACCACAGGACGGGACCTCCCCTCCCCCCACTCAGGCAGTCCCTCCTTGTTGGTGTCCGAACAGCCAAGCTCTAAGGCAGACACCCATGCAAGCAAAAGGGGGTATGCTCACCGTGGATGCCGTCAGGCCGCCCACGGATACCACCAGCCCCTGCAGGACATGGTAGCGATACGCAGGCAGCCCCAGGAGCTGGGTGATGCACGGGAAGGCCTGAGAGGGTGAGGCCCAGTTCACAGAAGTGACATCTTCCCTGCAGGGAGAGACCCTCAGCTAGGGGAGTCACGCCCAGCCCATACCCCTGCCCCCCCCACCCCCCACATCCCTGCCCTCCCCCTACACCCCAGCCCACCCATTCCTGTACCCTGCCCAGTTCTGGCCTCAGCACCTGGGGAAAAGCTTTTCCAGCTCCTCTCGGTGGGGCACATGGGGGACAGGGGGACCCTCAGGGTAGAGGAGAGTCATGAAAACACTGGCAGCGTGTGCACGGACGCAGTCAATTTTCTCACTCGCCTGCTGGGCCAAGCTGCACATGACCTGCTCGCAACTACACACACATACATGGGGTGGATATTAGGCAGACCCCCAAAACCACCACCCAGACCCCCAAGTCTGACCATGGGAGGCTGTGGAGGGAGGCACAGGCAGAGCTAGAGGGCAGTGATCACACTCACACGCCAGCATCCAGCAGGCCAGGCTCACTTGTCGCTAATATCAGCGTCAGCTCCATCAGGCTGGTCATGGCGGCCTTGCGGACACTGTGGCAGAAGAGGGAGGGAGTTGAATAACGTCTGAGGATGCAGCGGGGACACAAGAGCACCCAACAAAGAGTCCCAAGTGAGCCCCTCAAGACAGCATGTGGCAGACAGTGCAGCCCCCACTCACCAGGAACCAACATCGCCGCGGCTGTCGGTGGTGTAGTCCTGCATACAGGCCAGCAGCGTGCTGTATACCTCTGCCACGTTCCCTCTGCACACAGTCTCGTCCGGGGACCCCTCCGCACACACGCCCACCGTCCGGGAGATCCTGAAATGCCAAGTGGGCAACCAGCTATGGATGGGCCCAACTTGCCCTGAACATGGCATTTCCTAGCTCAGAGCCTAGCCCTGTCTGTCCCAGGGTCACTCCTGGCCTACAGCTTCTCCAAAAACATACTCCAGTGTCCACGGCCACTGGTGCGGCTTCTGCCCCCTCTGTTGATAGGACAGAGATGTGTGCAGGGCCAAGTTCTCACAGCTGTGTGTGGTGCACACAAAAGCATACAGGAATACTGCCTTGTCTCCGGAGAATACACATCTACATCTGTATATAGGAATACCACTACGTCCCTGGGGTGCGCACACACACATGTACACACAGCACTGCCACATCCCTGGGGCACAAGCACACCCACATGAGCACACAAGCACTGTCTTGTCCCCAGGGCACAGGCACACACATTTGTGCACATGAGAGCGCACTGTTCCTCAGGGACTCATTGCATGGAAGAGTCAAACTAAGCTAAGTCTTAATTTTAATTGCAGCAAATAAAACTGTGCCTTGGGGGAACTGGGACCAGGCCTGCCTCCTTGAAAGTCATGACCTAAAATGTGCCAATGCTGCTCTCCTGAGGCGTCCTGCACTCAGACGTGCAACAGCACTCACCTGCCGATGGCCTTCAGGGCGTCCTGCCTCGCCTCAGCAAAGCTCACATCCTGGGGAGAAATGTGGGTGACGGCCGCTAAGCCTTCGAGAACCTGAAAAGTAAGGGGTCAGTCGTGAGCAGCCAAGCATGTATGTCCCCTCTGCTGAGCCCACTGCAGAGCACCTGACAGCCTCTCTGCTGGGTAGGCAAGTCTATATGTGTACGAACCCCAAGGTGACCTGCCCTGGCCAGGGAGGGCAAACGATGAGCACCAGGTGCTGGCAGGGCCCAAGAGACAGGTGGGAACAGGTCTGGGGTGGCCTGTGGGAATGTTGCTCCTGGCAGCAGTGTCCCATGCATGAGGTCTCAGAATGGCCGCAGGTCTCAGAGACAACATGCGAAGTGGCCCAGTTCTCATACTGGCCTCAGCCTTCAGGGAAGTGTCCCAGAGGCAGTCAGCACCTGTCTCCGAGGCTTGGCACATGCCTAAGTCTCCTTTGGCGTTGCTGTCCAGCGGGAGGCCCAAGAGGCCACTAGCCACGGAGGTTGGTCGGATATACCCACACCTGATGCTGGAGGGACCCACGTTTGGGGTGGCAACCTGGTCGCAGTTCTGAGGGCTGCTAATGAGGCCAGCAGGCCCTTTGTCATCCCGAGAGACAGGCTCCCTACAGCAGCAGCACTGCCTCACCGACGCCTCCTCCCTATCTCTGCCCCGCCCCCCAGGAGCTGCTTTAGGCTGCAGCGCCGGTCTCACCTGCTGGAGCTGGCCCTTCAGCAAGAAGTCTGGCAGTGCACCTAAGGCCAGTGAGAAGCCACAGCGCGTCATCTCCTCTGGATGCTGGAGCTCGGTAAGAAACTGCTGTATGAGCTCCCCTGAAAAGCAGAGGACAGAGAGACCCATGCTGCCTGCCACTCCCAGAACCCTGTGCATTCTCCAAGCAGGACCTGGGCTTCTGGGAAGCCAGACCAGACTCTCCCTTCAGGGAGGGCCGCAGATGAGGTGGCCGTGACCAGAGAGAGAGCCCGAAGACAGCAACTACCTCAAGGAAGCAAGAGCTGGCCTAAATGATAAAGGGACGGTGTGCAGCGTGACTGCAGACCAATCGGGGCTGAATTGAAACACCCAGAGGAGAGAGGAAAGAGGTAGAGGGCAGGAAACAGGGCCTCTGATGCCCTGAGGGATGCAACACTGAAAGTCCGAACACAAGGGGGCTTCTAAAACACACCCTTCAGAGACACTGGGGAAAGTCAGCAGGGTCTCTGCCAGGCACAGTGGTCCCACAGGGATGGCAATGGCGGACACCCCAGTGACTGCAACAATATTCTCCAAGTCCCACACAAAATGGGCCCCAAGAGGAGTGGCAGGAGGAAAGGGATTCTGTGAGATGACCCCAAGCAGCCACGGCACAATCCACTCCCATCTCGGCCTGTCCCACAGCAGGGCTTGGGGGAGTGGGGTGCTCCTGCAGCTCACTCACCCTGAACAGCGGGGGGCTCTGCCCCGGGCTCCTCCCTGTAGTACTCGCTGCAGAGGGCAGCGAAGGCCGAGACAGCAGCTTCCTGAAACAGCAGGACGTGAGCACGGCCAGGCTCCCAGCAGCTCAGCCTCCAGACACCAGGAACAGAAGCAGGTGGTTTCCTGCCCCACAGCCCCGCCGCCCACCTCCCCCCGAAAGCCCAACCACACAGATCTGAGCCACACAGGGGGACCTGCCCCTGCACTTCCCACAACAGCACCAAGGGCTGTTCCTCCCAGATGTGTCGATGCCCCCTTTAGGGTTACTGGGAGTTCACGAGCCCTGGGACAGAGACCAGGACAGGCCTGGCCATGGGAATAGAGAGCAGGGAGAGGAGCTCCCTCAGCTCATTGGCTGGGCAGGGAGGCCGTGTCTCAGAATGCATCATCCCAGGACATCCCACTACAGATCAGATGCAGACACCCTGCTCCGTCTGGGGGGTGGGGGATCGATTCTGTGCTCAGAGGAAACTGCCTATGGCCACTGGAGAACCATGAAGGCTCTGAGCAGAGTGCGCTCCAGCCCCCAGCAGAGCCTGCCTTCATGGATTCCCAAAGGTGTAGGGTCCCAGGGCAGTGAGGACAGCAGAGGCACCCACAGATCCCGCCATGTTCCCTGCATGCACCCCTCCCCAGAGTTGCCGCCCAGGAGAAAAGACCACATGCTCCCACAGAAGTGCAGCCATAGCCCTATGAAGGCAGTTAAAGCCTCAGTGCTCTACACACTTTCCTGGTTTCAAGTAGGGACCCCCAGCCCACCATACCCCGCCCCAATTCCAGGCATCTCGGCCACAGTCTCTCACCTTGATGCGCTGTCTGGAAGAGCTGGAGAAGAGACGGAGACTTCTCAGCGTGTCACTGATGAGCCATTGCCAGCCCTCTGTGGGGACAGCAGCCCTGTCAGCTGACCACAGGGTCTAAAGGGACACAGCAGAGCACGCGGCCTCCACCCTGTGCCACAGCCCATGGACGCTCCCAGGGCTCTAAAAGGGCCTTCGAGTGCAAGGGAGAAAGACTCCTTCCTGCTGGCTGCCATCTGCGCACCTACCAGTCCCTCCCACAAGCCCTTCCCCATCCCAGCGTCCACTGCAGTCAGATGCAATGCTGGCAACGGTCCAACTGAATTCTGTAGTTTCAGGGTCACAGATGGCACCAGGCAGCACAGGAACTGTAGGGGCCCTGGCCACGGCTTTTCTGCTGTACCTGAGTCCCCCAGAAGTGGCCATGCAGTCTGTCCCCTGGACTGGCACTGTCCATCTGGGAAGTACAGTCCACCTGGGGCACAGGCACAGAGGCACAGGCATGTGAGCCCAGCTGAGAGCCACAGGGAGAGTCTATTTTGCTTTGTTTTGGGGGGGTTCAGGCCCACCTGGAGGGTCTCTGCCCACTGAGCTACCATGCCGACCCACGTCCCAGGGCCCCATGCTTCTTAGGAACTGAACCCCAGGCCCGCACCATCAGTCCTGGCAGTGAGGAAAACTCTTACCAATGACCGGGTCTCCTCTGAAGGGCATCTTGGACAGTGAGAGTCTCTCTATCAGGGTGCACACTGGTCAGGGAAGAGAACACACACGACTTCTCAGAAGGCTGCCCCTGCACCTCAGCCCACCCCAGAGCCACCCAAGTGCCCATCAGCACCTCCACGCCTCCCTGCCCCGATGACCATGCCAGCCCAGGGACAGCAGCCCGAGGGGCAGAGGTAAGCGCTGTGTGAGGTCAGCAGGTCCTGCATGTGCAGCCAGGGGCAGCTCAGAGCATGATTGCAGGAGTCAGCTACTAGGCTGGGGCACTAGAAGTGCCATCTCGTGCCTGGCCATAGATGACGTAGTGTCCACTGCCAGGCCTAGTGAGGTCTTAAGTCGTTGTGGGCTAATTGCTGAGGCAGAACTGTAGTGAAACACCTCTGCTTCTCTCAATCGTATTTATTTAAGCCCTTCATATTTATTTAAAAGCTTTCTTTTTTTAAATGGGTCCGTGAGACAAGAGTTAATTTATTTTCTGGTTTTTGGTCCACACCAGTGGTGCTCAGGGGCTACTCCTGGTGGTGCTTGGGGACACGTATGGTACCCGGATTTGAACCTGCAACCACAGCCTCATTCTAGGCTGTGCTAGTGCCTTAGCCTTAGTACAGTGTCTCCGACACCTCAAAAAAGCCTTTAATGTGACAAAGTCATGAGATAGAACTTACCATTGCCTTTTGAATGCCCTTCTGCACCCTATTACACACTGCTGCCTGAATGGGGAACCCATTTTAGATCTCCACCCTCCACTCCTGCCTCACCCCCTGTGGCTGACTCGAGACCCACAGGCCAAGCAGGAGCTGAGCCCAGGAACAGACTGCTGGACCCTTCACTCAGTGGTGTCTGCTGACTCAGCTTTCCTCCTCACAAACATGACCCTAAGTCACCACACAAGGGGCAGACGCAGGACAGAGGTGCACTCCTTATCCCACCTGCAGGACCTTCCCCAGGGGCTGTCTGTCCAGGATGGTTATGGGAGGAGGCTGACTGTCCTGGGCTTTGTCACCAGGAGAGGCGTCCAGGCCCTGCAGGGCTGTGAACTGCCTGTGCAGTGGGCAGACAAGGTTGACCCTGCCCTTTAGAACCATGTCCCATAGGCCTACCTGCCTGTCTCATGAGTTCTCCTCCAAGACCCCTGCAAAGGACAAAAACACTCTGGATCAAGACCCTGTCCCCATGCTGCCCACCATCACCTGGGAACTGCCCAGCAGGGCCCCATCACTGCCAGCCAGAGAAGGAAAGGGGGCTCTGGGTCCCATGTCCACCAGGGGGATAGATTCTGTGGACTCCTGTGACAGGGGCTCAGGACAGCAGGGCAACTGCAGTGAGGTCACGTGGTTCCAACTCAGCCTGAGGCAGAGGCTGGGAAGGGTGAGCTCTGAAAGAAGCTCCTATATGGGCTGCTCAGTGAGGATACCCTGCGGCCCTGGACACAAAGCCGGAAAAGCTGGAGGTGGGAAGAGGCAGGAAGTGTCCAAAAGAGGACAAGGGCAGTCCACTCAAGGGCTGGATGGACACTGGCCTCACAGCTACGTTATGAGGCCACATAGGAACATAGCCTCGCATCCCCATGACACACGAAGGGTTCAAAGACACTTAACAGATGGTCCATTCATCAGAAGGCATACGTGGCCAGCATAGCAGTGGCCACTAGGGGAGAGCAGGTGCAGGTCCTGCCAGAACCCCAAGGGAACAGAGCCCCACACTGCCCGGATGGTGACCAGCACCAGTAGAAATCTATCTCAGCAGCCACCAAAGGGGCACTATACCAGATGTCTCAGAGCCACTCCAGGGCTCCACTGACATGACCACGTGACAGTGGCCCCAGGTCCAGGCTGCAGGCAGGGCCCTAAGCTAAAGCCTTGGCCACACAACAACCAACAATCCCTCAGGCCCCAGCCAGCACTCCGGGTTTCAACTCCCAATGCTCCCTCTGATCCAGGCACAGAGACAAGCTAAGAGAGACCCCCAGTCCTGCAGCGGGGACATGCTGGTGGGCAGTCAGCCTACAGCCTTGACCCAGCAATCTCGAGAGTCTTGGGTATGTGGTGCTTACCTGTATAAGTGACGCTCGTAAAACTGATAACAAAGAATCGAAAGTTAGGCATTTACAGATCCCGTTCTCAAGTCTTCTGTAGAACAGCAATGCATATCCCAAGGAACAGACAACACCGAGTCTGCCCCGGCCTGCTGACTGCTGGTGTGGGGAAGGCCCAGCAGAGCCTCCGGCAGGAGCCTATGCCCCCCATACATCCCGCCTGACAGCCCAAACCCCCACGCCCCTCCGAGGAATCAGAAGGGGATGGCCGGGGCCTGGCAGCCCTGCCCCAGCAGAGCAAGCTGAGTTTTCACACAGAGTCCAAGCTCTTCCTTCACACCAAACTCCAGAATGCAGGTCCCACCGCTATTACCCACTTTCCCATCACACTGGCATATGCAGGCTGGCACAGTCCAATGGTAGAGCCAACACCACACTCCAAAGTGAGAAACATCAGTAAATAGGCAAGTGTCTTTGCCGGAACTACAGTCTGCACCGTAAGGGTCAGAGGTCACCACAACGGTCTGCTCAGAGAGTGAATAGCAAACATGTGAATCATGACAGTCTTGACCTGGAGACCCACAGATGCTCACAGGTCCCCAAGGCCCCTGGAGGGACAGATCTATCGCTCCTAGAGGAGGACACGGAGGCCTGAAAAAAGTATCTGGCACCTCCTACACGCACTGCTCAACCCAACGGCCTCACGGTGTGGACATGGGGATAGCCAGGAGCCACCCTCTCTGAACTCGAGACTTCAGGCACCCACACCTGCTGGTGGATCCTCTTCAGGCCTTGCAGTGCCTCTGCATCCAGGTAGTCAGTGATGGGCCTGCAGGGACAAAGCACGTGAGGCCCACAGAGGTAACCAGCCACTGAGCCTGCCTCTCAGGGGAGCAGTGCTGAGAGGGCCCGAGGCTCTGCCTACCTGCACTCCTGCTTCACCAGGCTATGCAGGCTGTGAGCGACCTCGGCACAGGCAAGCACGGCTCCATGGCGCTCATGCAGGTCCGAGCTCTGCACCATGGACAGCAGTCGTGGGAGAACTGCAGGGATACACAGAACTGCAGATCAGGCTGCTACAGGGAACCATCCCCAGGCTCACGGCAGTTTGAGGGAGGACCGCATCCTGGAGCTCGGGAGGGCAGGCTGGGCCAGGGCAGGCAGGGGATGAGCACTCTGCCCAGCCTAGCTCCTGGCACCACAAGCCCCCGACCCCCAGAGTGATGACAGGCCAGACTGGCACTGCCCTTGCCCCGAGCGGGACAGAACAAGGCCTCAGCTTTCCCATGCCCAGATGTGGCCAGGAGAACTCCTATGAGCAGCCATAGGGGGTCAGTGCCATGTGAAAGCTGGGAGGAAGCTGAGAGGCTACCAGAACCCACAAAGAGGAGCTGAGGAAGGTACAGGGGACAGATCAGGAGACGGGAGGCTCCGGCCTTCAGGGAGACACACAGTGGCAGGGCCTGCAGCAGTCCAGAGAACGAGCCCAGTCTCTATCACTACATGCTGAGACAGAGTGGACATGTCCTCCCTCCCGGGGATACTGAATCTCAGGGGACACACTGTGCTGACCCTGCTGGCTTCTGAAATGGAAACTGCCAGGAGATAGGGAGCATTGCTTTGTTGTTTCGGATTCTTTTGTGCTTACTCCACGTTCTGCACTCCTGGCAGGGCTCGGGAAACTATGGGGTGCCAAGGATGGAACCTAGATCTGCTGTGTGCAAGGCCTTGAGCCCTGCACTAGCTCTCAGGCCAATCTACAATTCACTTGACCTGTACTGTAGCTGCTTCTGAAAGGCAAACACGGACTCAACAGGACATGTTAGTCATCTCTCAGGGATAGAGACAGAGAAGCCATCTCCACCCGAGGGGTCAGAGAGGCCATCTCCATCTCAGGGGTCAGAGAGGCCACAGTCAATCCAGGGGTCAGAGGCACGATCTCCCCAGGGGTCAAAGGCAGTCTCCCCAGGGGTCAGAGGCATGGTCTCCCCAGGGGTCAGGGGCACGGTCTCCCCAGGGGTCAGGGGCACGGTCTCCCCAGGGGTGAGAGAAGCCACGTCACCCAGGTCTGAGCCCAGCAGCAGAGCTGTCACTGCTCCCATGCAGTCTGCATGTCAAAATGTGTGTCCAGGTATCTACAGGGGTGCTGGTAGGGCAGGGCTGTACACGCAGCTGTACGCACACCCATGTGTGCTGGGTCACCTACCGTGTGTGGCCATGTAGCTGGGTGCCTGCTGGGTAAGGTTATGCAGGGCCTTTGCTGACAGCTCTCTGATGACCCTGGGAAGGGAGACAAAGAAAATTCAGCCTATTCTGAGCAAGGTGGTGGGGTCTTAGTCAAAACACACACAGAGACAAGGAAGAGCAAAGTTACCAAAGTACCTCTCACAACACGTGCCACCCAAGGTCAGAGGCTGGCATAGCTCCCTGGAGCTCTGGGCAGGGCAGGCATGGAACCATCATTCCCCGTGAAGAATAGGTGAGCAAAGGTTTCCATGCATTCCACAGGCAAGAGCAAGCTTGGCTGTAATATCCCAGCTCAGAGGAAGAAGCCCCAGGACGAGTGGAGGGTCTGGCCCCATCCTGGCCAGCCACACAGCCTTGGGCCCAGCAGCCTCTCTAGCGGCTGCATCAGGCAGGCCCCACAAGCATGGCAGCAGCCACAGGAGACGCTCATGTGAGCATGCACTGGTCTACGCACAGACCAGCAGCACTGAGGTGGCACCTGGTGATGGATACTCCATCCTGCCCAGGGCCCGTGGCACTGCAAGGCAGGAGATCACACAGGCCAGCACCAGGAGAGCCCACACCCTCCACGGGAATGAAATCAGTCCACAACGCTGGCCAAGACAGTAGTGCCCACGTTTCACAAACTGCCAAGCGACAGACAGCTCCATCTGAGGGAGCAGGACTCAGGTCCTCAGGCAGGGGAAGCTGCTCAAACCAACGAGGGCATCTCTCCCAAGAAGCAACTCTGGCATCAGCTGCCCTTCCTGAGAGAGACATACCCCAGCGCAGGACAGAATACCCCCCAAGTCTAGTGTGCTGCTGGCAGGGGAAAGCATAAAACTGTGCTTTGTTTAATTTGGGGGTCACACCCAGTGTGCTCAGGGGAGCAATACTCCAGCCCACTGAACCATCTCCTCAGCCTAAAAATCATTTTTAGCTTATATATGACATCTGAGCACAGTTTAAAATTGTGAAATTTTAAAAAGAAAGCAGGTGGAAGTTTCATAGATTTGATGGTGACTTCTTGAAAATACCGAAGCAGAGGCAGCAAAAGTGAAAATGCAGAAACTGTTCACTGTAATAAATAAACTGCTAGTAAAAAATAACAGTTAATGAAAAAAAATTTTTTTTTCTTTTTAGGTCACACCCGACGATGCTCAGGATTACTCCTGGCTCTGCACTCAGGAATTACTCCTGACGGTGCTAGGGGGAACCATATGGGATGCTGGGAATCGAACCTGGGTCGGCCAGTGTGCAAGGCAAGCACCCTACCCACTGTGCTATCACTCCAGACCCAATGAAAAACTTTCTTGTGTCAACACAATCTACACAGCAGAAAGGCAACCGACAGAATGCAGAGGATATTTGCAAATTCTGTATCTGATGATGGATTAATATCCAGAATCAAGAACTCCCGGGGTGCGGTGCCTCCAGCAGGTCTATCTGTACCTGTGAGGCGAGTGCATCAGCAGCCTGATGGCGCCTTCAGACTTCCAGATACCCCAAAATTGCTGCTGTGCCTTTGGCCAGACCCCAAAAACTTGGGGCAAAGTTTACCAAGAAAGTAAACGGCCAAAAGTTAGGTATGTGGGAAACACATCCACAAACCACCTCCGGCTCAGCTATATTCTTGGAGGGATGGCCTCTCTGGTTCCTGATTGAACTGCTTAACGGCCATGATCCCAGAAACTCAGAAACAAATCTTGAAACCCAACGGCTTTTGGCAGAAATGCGTCTGGTCTCTGAAGTAGGTCACTGGTGCTGGGCCAACCCAGGTGGGAATAGGTTTTGTGCCTTGGCCTGTTCCCCCTGGCGGCCCAGTGACCACCATCCTTCAGAGGCCACTGGACAGTCAGGTTTGGGCCCCCAGTGATGAGACACGCAGCGCCTCACAGGATGGGGGTGGAGCCCGTCCTGTCCTCCCCACCCAATGAGACCCCAAGTCATCGCCCACAAACGGCCTCTCTGGCTCCTGATCAAGCTGTTTAACGGCCATGATCCCAGAGACTCAGAAACAAATCTTGAAACCCAATGGTTTTTGGTAGAAATGCATCCGGACCCCACAGTACGTTACTGTCGCCGGGTCACCCCAGGGGGAAAGGGTGTTGTAACTCCACCTGCTCCCCCTTGGCGGATCGGTGGCCATCATCCTCCAGAGGCCATTGGACAGTCAGGCTTGGGCCTGCAGTGATGAAACTTGTTGAGCCTTACGGGATGAGGGGGAAGCCAGGCCTGTCCTCCCCACCCCAACGAGACCCCAAGTCATCGCCCACGAACGGCCTCTCTGGCTCCTTACCAAGCTGCTCAACGGCCTTGATCCCAGAGACTCAGAAACGAATCTCAAAACCCAACGGCTTTTGGCAGAAATGCGGCAGGACCCCGCAGTAGGTTACTGTCGCCGGGCCACCCCAGTGGGGAAAGGGTGTTGTCTCTCCGCCTGCTCCCCCTTGGCGGCTCAGTGGCCGTCATCCTCCAGAGGCCATTGGACAGTCAGGTCTGGGTCCACAGTGACGAGACATTTTGGGCCTTACGAGATGGGGGGGGGGGGGGGGGGAGCCGGGCCTTCCCCATCCCAACGAGACCCCAAGTCATTGCCCACGAACGGCTTCTCTGGCCCCTGATCAAGCTGCTTAACGGCCATGATCCCAGAGACTCAGAAACAAATCTCAAAACCCAGTGGCTTTTGGCAGAAATGCGGCAGGACCCCGCAGTAGGTTACTGTCGCCAGGCCACCCCAGGGGGGAAAGGGTGTTGTCCCTCCACCTGCTTCTCCCTGGCGGCTCAGTGGCCATCATCCTCCAGAGGCCATTGGACAGTCAGGCTTGGGCCCTCAGTGATGAAACTTGTTGGGCCTCACGGGATGGGGGTGGAGCCGGGCCTGTCCTCCCTACCCCAACGAGACCCCAAGTCATCGCCCACGAACGGCCTCTCTGGCTCCTGATCAAGCTGCTGAACGGCCATGATCCCAGAGACTCAGGAGCAAATCTCGAAACCCAGTGGCTTTTGGCAGAAATCCCTCCAGATTTAAGTGTTAAAATTTCGGAATTTCAAAATCACATGGCCCTACTGCAGCCACACAACATCATATGTTATTCATAACCAGCAACAGAACACAAATTGTCTACTGTTGCTTTTTCAGCAGATCCTAGTGTTGGGGTATGGGTCTGGTGTCAAAATACTGAATGTGTTCAAAGTAGAGAGAGAGTAATGTGGAAATCATCTGCCCCACAGATAGGGGGAGGGTGTGGGATGGGGGGATACTGGGGTTTTTGGTGGTGAAGAATGGGCACTGGTGAAGGTACGGGTGTTTCATTGTATGACCGAGACTTAGACCCGAAAACTTTGTAACTGCTCTCATGGTGATTCAATAAATAAAATTTAAAAAAATTTTTTAAAAAAGTAAGGTGAAGTTCATGCACAATTCAATCAGGTAATCAGTGGCTGAATAAATAGCAGTACTCCTGCATAAAAAAAAAAAAAAAGGAACTCCTGGAACTTAAAAAGCAGCCGAGTTTGCTGAGTATCCCTGGGAGGGCTCCCAGAACACCAGAAATACACACAAAATTTCCAGGAAATGCAGAAATCCACTTCTGAGCACACACTCTAAAGAATGGAAAGCAGGATCTTGAGAAGTCTTTATCCTCGATCCCATCAGGCACAGCAGTCAAGAAACAGAAGTGACCAGTGTCTAGACAGGAGCAGGACAGGGGGCATCTGTGGAGAGGAGGGCACCCGTGCTCAGCAGGGACAGTCCCACTGGCTGACAGTGGTCACTGTGAGGCCATGGTCAGTGGCTGCTCACTGCAGAGCCCCGAAGTCCAGGACCCCGGCAAGTCCCCGACAGAACATGCCTTGTCCTCTCGGTGCTGCACCATACATCCTGCTGTCTGCAAGATACTGCCTGGCTTGAAGGGAGCCAAGCAGCACTTTCAGAGACCTCAGACAAAGGAGCAGGAAAGCGTTCTGCAGGTGGAACGTGAGCTCTGCAGAGCCTAGGACTGGGCCCTCCGCACCACCAGCAGAGCTGGGCATGGCCCTTTAAGAAGACAGCAGAACTAAAGAACTTTACCTTTCTGTCCACGGGAGGCACCACACCCAGGGCTTAACCTACTGACAAGCTGGGGGACAAGGCAGGCTGACTGGGCTGCCCCACTCAGAGGGTCTTTGCTCCCCACCGGAACTGCCCGGTATCATCTCTGTCACTTTGTCGTGTCAGACACCTGCACAGCTCTCAGGCAGGTGCCATGTGGCACCAAGGGAGCCTCAGCCAGTGCTGCATGAGGTGCCCCCCATAGACACAGTGAGAGACATGTGCATGGCTTTGGTCCTGCCAAAACATGGAGTCATGTGCTCCAGGGACCAGAAGGTGCTTCCTCCAAGGACCCGCACCCTCACACAGCAGCAGCCATGGCCACACTGACTGTCCTTGAGGGAAGGTGCCCGTGGTCCCAGGTGACCACAGCACTGGCACTAGCTGCATTTTGATCACACATGTCCACAGGTCCCTCCAGGACACCCAAAGTTGCTCCTGTGATCAGGAGCAACCTAGGAGCCTGGTGAGTCCCAGGACCACTGTGCCGTAACAGTGCGACCACACGGCAGCAGGGCTAGAAGCATGAGCCACAGTCCTCTCTGGAGGCAAGTCAGGAGTTTCCCCAGGGACCGTGCCAGGAAAACAACCACAAAAGCCACAGCGTAAGCATTAAAACATGGCCTCCATGATGAAAACAATCTCTGCAAAGCACGTGGCTCTGACAGGTAGTTCATGAAAGCATAGTATAGCAAACCGAGACATGCATACCTACCCATCCCAGTGGCTGATCTTCCTGGTCACCAGGTGGTCTATAATGGGCTGTGTGTACTCCGGAAAGCCGGCGATAAACACGCTAAAAGAGAGGTAGAAACGGTGAGGGCGCTGGCCCGCTCACTCGCGCAGAGGTGAGCAGGGCACAGCCAGAGGACCCCAGAAGCCCCTGCAGAGAATAGCTTCATGCACAAAACTGCAACAGTGAGCAGAGCAGATGTGGGGCTGGTGAGAACTGCAGAAGACAAGAGGGGCTGCCGCGCAGGGCTGTGGGCACAGCATGTACGAGAGCCGCACCACGGCCTCTGCGCTCTCCAAGCACACAGGGCAGAGGAGGGAGCCGGAGGGACTCCAGCAGGCTCCCAGATGGGAGCAAACAGCAGGGTGCTCTGTGTGGCCAAGAGCAGCACTTCAGGCAGAGACCAAAGCGCACCTCAGGGCAAGCATCCACCTCATTCGTTACACAGGGTGAGTGGGGCTGGGAGGAAATTACAGAGGGATGAGGTGGGGCTGGAATGGGCTTCGGCCAACCTGGGCACAATCCCCAGCACCAGAGTCCCCTGAAAACTGCTGGGTACAGATCTGGAGGGCCCCGAGCACTGCCAGGTTTGTGGCCCTGGAGCTCCCCCTGCTACCTCTATTGTGGTGGCCTAAGGAACTTTCAGCCCCAGAGAGCCCAAGCGGTGCCATAACTTCAGGCCCATGCATTGAACCAACAACTCAGCTGCCCAAAAATCATCGAGAGGGTACCCTGGGCTTTAAGCACCACTTGGGAGACCACCCCCCAAAAAATTAATTGAAGAAATGGTGACTGAGTATGCCCCCAAGTTGAGGGCTGAGTCTTGTACCCAGAGTCAAGAGAATCAGAGCTCTCAGTTAAAATAAATCCAGAGAGAAAACCTGGAGACAGACAGCTCCAAGAGAACATGACACCACCGAATCATCCCAGGTAGGGTAGTCTGGGCCGAGAACTCTGGCCTTCTCAGGACAGGAGCAGGCAGATTCTCCTTTCAGCCAGAAGGCCCAGCAGCCCCTGACACCCTCCGACTTAGAAACAAACTGCCCAGCTCCACACCTGTAGCTCATCCAAGTGCCAAGCCACCAATTGTTCCAGATCTCTAGTTCCAGCACTGTGTGGCCACATACACAGCTGTGGAACACCTCCAGATTTCATAGTACTGTCAACCCAATAGGATCACTGCAGCCTTGATGGGAAAGTTGCACAGAAGACCACCAAACTCAATGAGCCTAACCAATAAGAGGCTCAACTAGCACTACAAAGTAGATCCTTAGACAGTGACTTTAGTAACATCATTGTGAGATGCAGCAATGATCACAAATTGACTCTTAATTCCATTTGTCTTTGTAGTATAACAAACAATATGAAATAAGTCTGGCTGTACCTGCAGCGGGGCAGACTGGGTTGGTGGGTTTTGTCAATGGGAATACTGGTGGAGGGAAAAACACACTAGTGGTGAGACTGGTCCTGGAACATTTAATTCCATGGAACTTTGGTGGGGACAGCACTAAACCTCTATAGTGCTCTAGGTAGGATGGTTATTATTTAAGTAAGTAAAGGCCCTCCCGTCGTTCATCGATTTGCTCGAGCGGGCCCAGTAACGTCTCCACTGGAGATTTTGTTGTTACTGTGTTTGGCATATCGAATACATCACGGGTGGCTTGCCAGGCTCTGCCGTGTGGGCGAGATACTCTCGGTAGCTTGCCGGACTCTCCGAGAGGGGCGGAGGAATCGAACTCAGGTCGGCCATGTTGGCTGCGTGCAAGGCAAACGCCCTACCGCTGTGCTATTTTGCTTTTTGGGTCACACACTGCAATGCACAGGGGTTACTCCTGGCTCGTGCACTCAGGAATTACCCCTGGCAGTGCCCAGAGGACCATATAGGATGCTGGGAATCAAACCAGGGTCAGGTGCATACAAGGCAAACACCCTACCCGCTGTGCTATCACTCCAGTCCCAGGATGGTTATTTTAACAAAAAAAGATTAGTCACATGCAAAGAAATAAATTTGGTCTATGGGGCGGGGGGGGGGGGTGACTCTGGTTTCTTAGTAACAGAAAAACACATAAGGAGGAGCTGGAGACATAGTACAGTCGGTGTTTTCCTTGCTTGTGGCTGACCTGAGTTCAATCCTAGGTACCCCATATGGTTCCCCAAGCCTTGACAGGAGGGATCCCTAAGCACAGAATCAGGAGTAAGCCCTGAGCACCAACAGGTATGGCCCAAAAGCCGAACACAAAAAGATATGTGAGGTGTTGACTCACTAACTTAGTACTTGTAGACTAACAGACTAAGTAGTTGCTCATTCAAATTTTTCTTCTTTTTTAAAACTGAAAATTAAGTAAGAGTGCTTGACTGGTCACAAGCTTTATGGTGTGGAAATAAAAATGAACTTAGCTCCCTATCCCACACCATACACAAAAGTCAACTCAAATGGACTAAAGGTTTTGATATTAGAGCCAAAACTATAATTTCCTTTAAGAACTCTACAACTAAAAAGGTTCTGCATTGCAGAAGGAACAGTGACTAGAACTAAGACATGGCATAGTCTTGGAGAAAATGTCACTTACTGCACATCTGGTAAAGAGCTAAATCTGAAATGCACAGAGCACTCACGAAACTTAATAGAAACACAAAAAAAAAAAAACTTCCAAAAATGGGGAAAAGAGCTAATGGAGACTTCCTCAAAGAGACAACACAGATGGCCGACAGATATACGAAAAAGTGCTCTTCATTAATCATCTTCAAGAAATGCAAATCGAAACAAGGAGGTATCACCTCACACTATGAGATTGTCAAGTGGCCAAAAGAGGGGACAATGGGGAAGGCACTGGCCTTGCAGGCTCAACTTCCTGCACCAATTGGGGTCCCCTAGTATTGCTAGGAGAGATCCCTGAGCATAGCTAATGTGGCCCGAAGGTCACTCCCCAAAAATTTTGTATATACAAAGCACAACAACCCTATGAAGTGTGCATCACTATTTCAATTTGACATCTGAACAACTTATAGTAAATGGGCTGGTTTGTTTGTGTTTCAAATAGAAACAACCAGTGCTAGTGGGGATAAGGCGGGGGGGAGGGACACACTTGTCCACTGCTGGTAGCAATGTCATCTGGTCCAGCCTCTGTGGAAAACAGTATTGACACATCTCCAGAAATTAAGAATTGAATTTTAATTTGATTCAGAAGCCAGAGATCTGAGTTCTAATAAGTCAGGCCTCTCCTGACTTGAGTATTAAGAGCAGCTATAAAGTGCTGAAAAGGCTTTTCCCTGGAGAAGAACAAAGCATTCCTTAGACAAGAGGCCAAAGGGCAGGTTTCAAACACTGTCCACACTGGCCGTCGAGGGGCTGTGTGTGGCCTGGGGGGCAGTGATGGCCCCCAGCACAAGAGGAACCAGAAGCATAAAAGTATGGTCTGACTTCTCAAGAGCCTTTCAGTCAGGCAAAACCCAGAACCCTCACTCTGGGCAGCGGCCAGTCTTGGAACACATCTGATGAAGCAGAAAATCACTCTGGGCAGGGCATTATTCTGGGACACCAGTTACCTGAAGCCCAGCAGAGGACCATGACACAGGTGTGGCTGGGCTGTGGCCTTTCTCTGAGAAGACCAGTTCCCCACAAAAGAGGTGGTAACACCAAGGACAAAGAAGGATGCCACAAGCCTTGGCCTCTCACCTTCTCCAAGCCAGCCCCGGCAGCTGCTGGACCTTTGGTGGTGTTTCTAGAATTTATAAACAAGCACAGAGCAGGTCGGGGGGTGTCTCCAGCGGCAGGCAAAGCCTGCCCTGCTGGCCCACACAAGGCTGGCTTGTGGCCCCCGTTAATCAAATAATACTTTCAAAAAGGAAGAAGGAAAGAGAGCATCAGACCTAAGTCCCACTGACTCTAAGAAAAGTGTCCAGGAAGAGAAAGAAAATGGCAGGCAGAGATTCCAGGCAGGCCCCACACCCCTGGAGCTGGTCTGGGAGAAACGCTGACTTACCTGATAGTGAGGAAACAGTTAGAAATGTTACCAACAGCAAAGTAGTCAGCCGCAGTCAAAATGTCGATCCCATGTGGGAACGTGCCCTGATGGAGGAGAGGCAGGAGGGGGGTTAGTGAAGGGCATGGGAGGAGGGTCGGCAGGTGCCCACGTCCTTACCAGCAGCACAGCAATGCTGGAGCCAGGCACAGCACGAGCCCTACAGCTCTCACTGGCCCTATACTCTGCTGAAAGCACTAGACTGACTTCTTAGGGCCAGGGGTGGGCTCACGCGAGGGTCCCCCGGCACTGTTGCTATGCTGTACCCAAGCACAGGGCACCAAGTCCACACCTGCACAAGCAGCATAGCAGCCTGGGGCTCATAATGAGTTGGCCGTAGAAGTCCTTTAAGGACTTACAGGTGCTCCCAAATAGTGAAGTTCACTTGGCCAGGCCCAGGTGGGAGCCCTATGTGGCTGACAACAGCCGCCCCGTCTCAGTGCTCTCCTGAGGATGGGAAAAAAACAGCTCAGAATCAGGTGCTGACAGCCACCCTGCTAACAGTGGCAAGCAGAAAGTCCCAAACTCCAAAAAGACCTGGGGGAATGGGGACCTCACACCGGCCACTGCCAGTCCGTGAGTCACTGCCAGTCCACAGTTCTGGACAACACGTGAAAATGTGCAAACGAATGAAGGGTTTTCTATATTCAGGGAATGATTAACTAGAAACCAGGGTGAGGGTGTGGTAGAAAGATCTAGGGAGGCCTCTCTGCTCAGCTGTGGTCCCACTGGGCATCCTTCCTAGCCATGTTCAGGCATTCCAAGAGAAGGGGGAACCCCGCTCACACACAGTAGCCACATGTCGCATGAAGCCAGACTGGGTCACACTGCAGAGGCACGACAACCTCTTAGCCAATCTTGGTTTCCGAGGCCCCCGTGAGGGAGCAGCATGCCAAAAAGGAGTATCCAAGGTCCCTCTTGCTGTCATTCCCAGCTCCTGGACTAGCTGGGTAACTGTGGGCACTGCCCAACTGGGGGTTCATCCCACGGCACAGCATCCCAGCAGCATTAGGCCTCTCCTGACTTGGGTGAGGCACTCTGTCTTTCTTCACACACAGCATGTGCTGGGAAGAGAAAGGACTGTAGAACTGTTCTGGAAATCTCTGCCTTCACGGGAACACAGCAACCTCTGCCTCAGATACACCAGCTGATGCTGGGGACAGGCCCAGCCCCACGAAGGCCAACCCGGATGCCCCGCAAGCATGGGGTTGGCCTGGGCACCCCACTGGGGAGGAGCCACAGGTGGGGACTCAGAGGTCTGCTCTTGGTCCCTTGCCTGAAAAGGTTGGGTGCCTGTGTGTGACCTCCACACGGGTCTTGCCAGCAGAGCTGGGCAGGGACCACCACTCAAGCCCTCAGCAGCCGAGGTCAGCGATGGGAGGTGGCTCTAAGCAGAGACTCTGGAGCAGAGGAGACCCCACCCATCCTGTCTTGTAAGTGCTGGTCAGCTCTGGGGTCAGGACCAGGTCTCCATCCGCAGAGCCTGCCAGAGACAGTGACCCCCAGGTCCGGTCCCTGAAGAGACAACTGCCCCAAATCTCCAAAGGCTGAAGTCAGCAAAAACAGTGCCTCAGGAGTCACAAGACAGCCCACCACTGTGGTTCACTCTCCAGTCACCCCCTTGGCCCTGTCCAGGTGTGTGAGACACACCCTATGGCGAGAATAGTCCTTTCCAGACACCCCAGCAAACTGCAGAAGGAAGGGCACTGTGTATAGATAGGCATGCTCTCAGTCAGCACCGGGTAAGCAGGGTCATGCACTCCAAACACCTATTTACCCCACTGAACTGAACCCAATCTCAGGTACTTTCCTCCTTCCTGTGACCAGCCCCAAGTGCTCCACAAACGAGGATCATACAAGGAGCCCAGGGCATGTGGGGCTTCAGTGAGCCCTGCTGGAACACGCACCCACCTAGACCACCAACCTTCTTCCTTTTGGGACTTCCCCCAGACACAGGTCTCACTGCAAGGGCTCACCCCACAGGGCCTCGTCTCCAGGCCCAGCTACAAAGTCACTGTCTGGGCCTCGTCACCCTACACTGTCACAAGGACAGATGCAGGTCAGGCCCACAAGTCCCTGCATGTCAGGGGCCCCTGTCCTTGGGGTTCAAACAGCCCACCACAGGGGCTGGGGTGTGGCTGAGGCAGAGAACTGCCTATGCACAGAGGCTCTGTGAGAAACCCCACAGACTCTTCTCCCCTGTCCTACTGGTCACAGAGGCCCCCATCAGCTGCCACCAGGAACACGTCAGGGGGCAGGGGAAAACATAGGGGCTTGCCCAGGGCCCGGTCCCACAGTCCAAACCCAGTCAGAGAGGAGGTTTCCAGGCCCCATCGGCTGCTAGGTCAGGCCTACCGCAGACAGCAAGGACGATCTGGAGCAAGGTGGTTGCACAGCTTTAAAGGACACCTAGACTCAAAACCTAAGCTGCTCAGAGGAAGCAGGTGCCCCTTGTTAGCATCAGACCCCATCGTCCTATGTCACTGTCAGAACCAGGCTCACTGTGCCTGTACCTACAAGGACCCTGATCAACTACATATGCCAGATTGGGGTTCTCACCCACAGGTGCCCAGCAGGCCTGTGGGCATGGGATCAGAACACGCAGGCCCATCCCTGGAACATCCTCTTTCGTCCAGGGTCTTAGTGTGGCGCCTCCTCCCTAGGCACCTCAGCGGCTCCCCCATACTTGAGTCCGCTGAGTCTGCCTGAACCACTGTGTCTGCTCCTCAGGATCACACGTGGCCCAACCACTCCAGTCTTCTACCCTGAAGTCTGCTGGAACACCCCACCTACCCTCAGCAAGTGCTGGGCCCACAGCCCCCTCCTGGCTACCAGATACACCCCTGGCAGTTGTGCTGGTCAGTGTGACAACTCTGGGCACAGAGGCTGCACAGCTCCTGGTCACCCTGTATGTGGTGCTCCCCCTGGACAGGCAAAGTTGGTCTCCATCTCTGGAGGCTCACTCTGCTCCCCCCACCCCCGCAGCTCCCCAGGCCCTCAGGAAGCCCCAACATCAGGGGGTCCTGGAAGCTCCTTGGGCTCTGATTTCTGATGACTTACTTCTATGTCCAGGTTTCCTACAAAACCCATCATGTCCACACTCGCCTGTGTCCTGCCACCCTGTCAGCAATGGCCCTGTAAGCAGAAGCCACTGGCCAGTGTCAACCGCTCCAAGTCCTGGAGCATGGGCAGCTGAGGACACCAGGCATGTGTGTGTCTCTCTCTAGCTGTTTCTACCTCTACCTCTGCAGGAAGCACTAGGAATGAAGGTCGTAAAAAGTCGCCCTACCTGTCTCCCCACATTCTCCTGGAAAGCAGCCTGTGAAGAAAAAGAACAAACAGCAGTGAGGAAAGTTTCTGCTAACCAGCAGGAGAAACTGCACAAAAGCAGCATCAGTGATCCGTGGCTTCATCTGCTGATGAACGTCCCAGTGTTGGCCAGGCAGACCCGCAGTACCCACACTGGCCTCAACAATCTAGCACTCCTGAAAACCCCATTCTAAGAATCCAGGTTTAGTGGTCAAGGTGGCAATACACGGGGAGAGGGGGCCACTGATCCCGCACATGGTTGATCGGGTTCAATCCTGGCACCCCTGAGCACAAAGACAGGAGTCAGTCCTGAGCACTGCCAAAATAAATAATATTTTTTCTTTTCAATTATTTGTTTCTTCTTTCTTTTGATTTTTGGGCCACAGTCGGCAATGCTCAGGGATTACTCCTGGCTGTATGTATATTCAGGAATCATTCCTGATGGTGCTCAAGTGACTATACAGGATGCCAGGGATTGAAGCCAGGTCGGCTGCATGCAAGGCAAGTGCTGTAACTGCTGTACTATCACTCTGGCCCTAAAATAAATAAATATTTTTTAAAAGAATTCAGAATTAAAAATCAGACACATGGGATCAGAATGATAGCACAGTGGGTAGGGCTTTGCACGTCGCTGACCCAGGTTCAATCCCCGGCATCCCATATGGTCCCCCAAGCACCCCCAGGAGTAATTCCCGAGGGCATAGTAAGGAGTAACCCCTGAGCACTGCTGGGTGTGGTCCAAAAACAACAATAAAATAAAATAAAAATCAGACACATCTTGAAAAATGGCCTCTAGCCGTAACACCTGTGAACTAGGAAGCAACCCAGTTGGATAGGTTCAGTGACGCCCAAACTCCAGTCATGGTCCTGGAGATCTGGTCACAGCATCAGCCTCACTGCACACTGACATATCTTTGAGAGACTCTCGGCAAAGCCATCCTCCTGAGAGCCAAGACACAACCCATGAGCAGGGCAGACAGACACCACTCAGGGCGGTGACCCCTCCACACCCTCAGGGGACAGAGGCCAGAGGGCAGGAGGCCCTCAAGACACAGCTTTATCACTGGCAGAAGAGAGGAGCAGAGGTGTCCAGGAGCCACAGCAACACCAGTCAGGACTCTCAGATGCCATGTAACCGTCTCCTAAAGATTACTCAGGTGGACAAAGGACAGGAGAGGCAGGACCCAACACCCTGGTGGGAAAGCAGGGACCAAAGAGGTCACAGCTCTCATGGGTACCACACAGGGAGAAGGAGACTGACTGTGTAAAGAGCATGTATACAATGAATTTATTAAAGAAAACGAAAACCACAAGAAAAACCAAAAGGTGGGGAAGATGCCATGCCAAGGATCAGAAGGCCACAGGCCTGATGGACACTCTTCTGGAGATGATACCAGTGCCATGAAAGAAACATCAGAGGAACTGGAACTGTGCTTGGAGACCCAGTTCCAGGGCGTAGGGAAGCCCACCAGGTCTCAGCCTACATCCAAGCTCCTATTTCAGGCTGAGGTTCTGGGGCCACAGAGATACTACGGGGGCAAGGTGTCTGTCATGCACATGGCCAACCCTGGCTTGTTTCTGTACCATATGGTCCTCTGAGCCCCAGCAGGAGGAAGCCCTGAGCACAGAGCCAGGAGCATTGCCAGGTGTGGCACAAATATCCACCCCTCACAAAAGGAGTAGAACAGAGACCCTCAAACTTCTCTGGTTTCATAAAAAAACAAAACAAACAAACAAAAAACACCACTCAGTGCCCCTGGCAATCTACCTCCTTTATGTGAACAACCAGAAAGTGCCCTCCCACAGTTCCCAGGACCACCTTGGGTCTTCTCAGTGGACCCAGGGACAGCCCCACCCACTTTAGGAAACAATGAACTAGAAAGTGGACAGACTTTCCCCAGAAGAAAGTCAAGTCACAAAAAAATCATCAAAAGGGGCCAGAGAGGCAGTACAGGAAATAAGGTGCTGCACATGGTCAACCCCGGTTCAATCAGGAGTGAGCCCTGAGCAGAATCAGGAGTTAAGACCTGAGCACTACAGATATGGTGCATGGCCCCCTCCCCCAAATACATGAGAAGATGCTTGACATCACGTGCCATCAGAAGTGTACTTTCCGAGCACAAGGTGTTGCACTGGGCTGGTGAGAGTGAAGACCCGAACTGAGGTCTGGCAGGCAAAGCTGCAGGGAGAAACCTTCCAGCTTGTCCCTCAATGTAAGACCTCACAGACCCACTCCTGTGTTTGCCCCGGAGAAAAGGAAATCCCATCCACATGGAACCAGACCTGAGCATCCTGGAGGCTAAACTCTGCCCTTGCATAACATACTAGGGGACACGGCAGGTCTGGACCGAGTAAGGCTGCAGGATGCCCCCTGTGCCTGGGATCCAACCCTGAAGTCCCTGTTCCTTGAGTCTGACCACCCACAGATGCCTTTGCATCCTCTGGAGTCAGCCAGCCCACTACACCAGGTACCGGACAGAAACCACTGGCCCTGGCACTCTCAGCTCACATCTGACACCACCAGTTTCCAGCACGGCAGCTCCCAAGAATGTGGCTCTTTCGTGGCTCATAACCTTCAACTGAGGCTCCTTCTCCACAGTGTGTCTGTGTCTACCCCAGCTCCAGCCTGCCCCCAGCCCAGCATCTGTGCCAGATCCCTGACACCAGGAGGAATGAGAAGAGCTCAGGAAGGCAAAGCAGAGGCGCCACCACTGGGCACGCTAAAGCTGATTGCATGAGGCTCTGGCCAGCCAGGACACCATCCAACACAGGGTCCATCAGAAGGAATAGACTCTGGAAGCTGTAGTAGCCCTGTGGTTCACTGGTTGCATACACACACACACACACACGTGCCCCTATATGTCATGCATATAACCATATCCACACATACACACACACACGTATGCCCATGCAGGTTCACATGTGCATGTATGCACATATGCACACATGTTTACACCACATGCCCCCATGCTGCAACCACTGCAGTTCAGGGCCTCTCAGGCCAGGTCCTCAGAGAACTCTAGGCCTACTCCCAAAAAACCAGTAAACCCAGGGCCTGTGCTGTGTGCGTGGGCCCTTGGGTAAAGGGGCAAAGCAGACACGTACCGAGGCAGCTCTCCTGCAGTTTATGTTCCGGTCAAACACAGCAGCAACCACCAAAGCACTGTGGGAAAGAGGAAGTGGTCAGTGAGCAGTGTGGAGGATAGGCCAGCACACACTCCCAGTATTGGTGGCCTGATCCCAGACGCATCGAGGCAGGAGGGCACCCTGAAGGCCAGCAAGTGGGTGCTAGATACAGTATGGCCTGTAGCTCCAGAGCTGAGGCCTGTACCCAAGTGGGGCTCACACTTCAGTGGCCTAACCCTGCGTGCCAGACTCCTGCAGGCCCTCTTCAGCTCAAACCCTCCCAGGGCATCTATGATACACCATGGGCAATACCGATGGAAAGCCTGTGAGGCTCCAGAAAGAAACAGAGGGCAGGCAGGCGTGGAGGCAGAGTATGTTTCCATACATGACCAATATGAGGTCAGCTCAGTCAAGACAGAACTGTTCTCGGAAAAGGGCTCGCCCCACACAGGAGTTCTCCTCAAAGGGAGGTAGCCCCACCCACAGCAGAGCTGACAGCACACAGCCTGCCCTCTGGCCAACAGTCCTCCCTCGGGCACAGTAATGCCCCTGACGGGATGTCACGGTGTCACTGAGCTAATGGGATCCCCCAAAGGCCTGAAACCCAGAAGCCCAGGAGGAGGGAGCTGGAGGGGCCTCTGGGAGCCACAAGAGCAGGCACAGCCACTCCCCGAAAAGGCCTGGGAGAGCAGCCATGCTCCTACTGTCTCAGGTGCAGCCTCCACAGGCGATGGGACACCTACCACGTGGGACCTGGAGATAAGGAAGAGATGAGAAGCAGGGCTGGGACAAGGAAACCTCTCTTCATGGGGCTGCGTGCACGCGAGGACCGTCCAGTCCTCAGAACCAAATATGAGGTACCTTCCCAGGCTGGCCAGGGAGGCTCCCAGCAAGGCACGGCCACCTGGCCTCGACCTGAGATGGTCTCTGCTCAGGGACCAGGTGCACTTCTGCATCCCCAAGGAAACGGCTCTAAATATTAGCTCCACGCGGTCCCGTCTCGCAGCACATGGAGTGTCATAGGTAGCACAGGACAACGACAAAAAGGCCACGTCAGAAGCAGAGCTTTGAGCCAGGAAACCCACGTCCCCTCTACCAGCAACAGTGTACTGAATTGTGAAAGCTGCTTTCAATACTGTTCTGATTCAGGCTGATTTATTTTTTAACTGCTCTGATTTCACACTCTGAAAACCGGCTTACCTAGAAATACTAGTATTTCACATGGTAACAGCAGCTACAGACACACAGGAAAGCGGCCCCAGGCCCCATGTCCCTGCAGCTTCCCTCAGGGCTCCCATGCCGGTGCACCTTCCCCTCCTTCCTGAGGACACACAGCCGGCTGCCGCCTGGTTCCCAGCAGCTAGAAATGTCTGCATCAGGCAGAGCAGAAAAGGACGTTCTCTGTCCGAATTAGGGAGCTGCCTGCCTCAGCCTGCCCCAGCTCAAGGCACCCGATTCTGAGCAGGTGTGGCCGAGAATAGCCACTCGCCCCAGCTTGGCTTCGGGTAGTTTGCCCCACCGAAGTGGCAGCCCAAAAATGCAGCAGCGAACCAGTCACACTCAAGTCTGGACCCTGAACCATTCACTGATCACGTCCCGGGCCTCTGCAGTGTGAATGCAGCGAAGACATGAGACGCGTGACACAGGCAGGCTGGGAACAAGGCTCCCACCAGCAGGCACAGGCAGTGGGCAGCCAGCCAAACCCAGGAAGCCCAAAAGTGCTCTGGGGGCCGTGACCAGGTGAGGGGCCAGGTAACTTCCCTGGGAAAACAAAAGGGTTTATCTTCCCTCTGGAGGTCAGCCATTAAGAAACGCTGAGTGAGAACAAGACGTAGCTTTGAGCAACGCTGGCCTGTCCTGATTTTTCAGGACAACTTTGCCCTCGAGGAAGAGATCTGGGAGCCAATCCCCAGGCAGCCACAGCTCCGAGCTCCACCCGCCCAGCACTGCCCCCGGCACAGGAGGGGCCTGCCGAGGTGATGTCAACAGGACCAGCTTACTAAAGAGTTTCAGGTGAAGAAATCTGAGACGCTGACAGCGGCCCACACGCCAGCAGTGAGGGCTCATTTTTCTTTTTGCTCCTTGCAAATTGGCTGTAGTTACTAGTGAGAGGGTATTTTCAAGATAGTGTACAAGAGTTCTGAAACATTTTAACTTGACACTTTTGGAGTTGCTCAATGACACTTGGTTTATAGAAAGTCTTCTTTTCTCTCCACCCAGAGAATTAATTTAGCTCATATTCTCTCTGTGTGTTAATGTGCTTAGGAAATATGAATATTGGAAGCCACCCAACACTAATTCAGAACATGACTGAAATGAGTTAAAAGGTATCCTTTTGGTATTATAAAACAGAGGGCCTGTACATACTTACCGGGTGGGCTGAAAGAGCAGTTTGTCCAAGTTGAGGAAGAAGTGGGCAACTAAATCCCATAACTACAACCCTTCTGTGCCTGAGAGTGGCGTGAGGGTCCAGCCTCCACCATGCGCAGCCTGAATCACGAGTACCTGGATGCTTTAGACCATTTCTAGTTCACTTACAGAACTGTATTTTGATCTCAACTGCCTAATTTTGCAGCATCCACTGAAGTTTGTGAAAGTATACTTAAAGATATCAAGATTTTTATCAGGTGCCAGGATTAATGGGCTTAAAAGCTGACAATTAAAATGTGGTCACTTATTAGGAACCCAGAGAAGCAGATCTCAAAGGCACACCCCAACCGATACTCCTGGGCAGGGAGGCGCACGCCAGCCGCGTCCTCCAGGCTCACCTGGCACCGTGACTCACCTGCAGCCGCCCTGCCGGCCCCCGGATGCCTGCAGCCCACTCGGGCCAGGAAGGGCTGGGCACAGGTCCCCTGAGAACCTGCCAGACGGGCCTGGAAAGGCTGCAGGCGGCTCCGCAGGCACTGGCTGATCTGATCCAGAATGAGCGCAGGGAACAGGCAAGAGGAGTCTTTTTAAGTAGGAACTCCACCAGGCCGCTAGCCCTGGGTTAATGAGGGGGAATTAGGGGCCCCCTGCCCGCTGGAGGTTTCAGGGTGTGAGGTGTTAAGTAAACTCATTAGCAATCTCCTGGGCATGCCCAGAAACTCCAGGAAATGTAACCTCCTCTGAGATCAAAGGCACAGTGGAACCAGCCGAGTTTCTGCCAACCACAGATTCACAGTGGACCTGCGACCTAGAGTTTCTGTGGATGGATCAGATTGCCAGCCACAGGCTCACAGTGGCCCTGCCACCAAGTAGAACCAGCCAAGTTTCTGCCAGCCACGGGCTCAGAGTGGCCCTGCCACCCAGCAGGGCCTCACAGTGCCCCTCACATCTAGCACATTCTGAAACCAAGTCCTGGAGTTCAAGAATCCTTATGAGGAGCACCAGGAGGGACTGGGCCCCACCTCTCACGGCCAGCAGACCCTAGATGCCCACTATGGTGCGAGTCAAGTGCTGCCTGTGCAGAGCATCTCCCGGGCACGTGCTCTGAAGGCAGGCGTACAGGACGCTCAGGGAAGAGTACTGGGTGCGACAAGGGTGGCAGCCTGCCTCAGTGGCGCCACCCCATGGTGTGCCATATTGCACAGCGGCAGAGTCGTGCTTCCGGACTGCCGGGACCTCACCGGGTTCCATCTCCGAGCATGCAGGAACAGAACCCCAACATAGCTGCTCCAAAGACCCCAGAACAGAGCCAGTCTGGCCTTACCCACATCATGTTGGGGAGGCCTCAACCTGCTAGCGGTTCTTCCAGAGTCCACTCTACAAGGGTCACTGCCCAGACTGGGGCCAGGGGTCCTGCACTGCTATGGGAGTCATAGGAAACACAAGTTATGTGCTTACAGCAGAGCTTCCCCCAGTCCCAGGCAACAGCGGGGACAGCAGGGTGGGCGGCCCCAGAACATGAAGACTCACCCCCTAGAGAGAAGCCTGTCCAGCACTGGTTTCAGATTGGGTACAAGACCCCAGTTCCCCCTGGAGATGACCCCATCAGTCCTCCAGTCCCTGAGAAGAGAGAGAGGCCATACCAGGGGCAGGGTCAGAGGGTCCCTCTGCAACCTTGGTGGAAGGACTTTATGCCCTTGGCCCCAGGATCAAACCCTTAGGTTCCTCGGAGACTCCACTGTGGTGTAAGGGCCAGGCTGGGGAGACCATCTGGCCACCAGAGGCTGGAGGGAGATGGAGGGTTCCCTCCTGACAAGAGCCAGCTATGGACTCAACACACAGGGTGACAACAGGGCAAAGCCGGGCAGGGGAGGCAGGATCATTACTCTGTGGGTCTAGGAGCTTGAGGATGTAGGGTCACTCTCAGTCTGCAGGGCTGGAAGCATCTCCACAGCAGGGTGAGGGGACTCTCACTCTGCAGGGCTGTGGTGGAACTAACACCAGGCCACCTTCTATTTTTTTTTTAATTTTTAATTTTTATTAGTGAAACACCATGAGATACAGTTGTAGACTTGCAAATTTTTGTGCTTGGGTTTCAGTTATACAATGATCAAGTACCCATCCCTCCACCAGTGCCCATTTTCCACCACCACAGGTCCCAGTATCCCTCACACCCCCCATCCCCCCATCCCACCCTGCCTCTGTGGCAGGGCATTTCCTTTTGTTTTCTCTCTCCTATTGGGTGTTGTGGTTTGCAAAAGAGGCATTGAGTGGCAATCATGTTTGATCTATAGTCTACTTTCAGCATGCTTCACCCATCCTGGGAGGATCCTCCCAACACTCTTTATTTGGTGCTCCCTTCTCTATCTGAGCTCCCTTTTCCCCTAGCATGTTTGGCTAGCCTCCAAGCCATGGAGTAAAATTCCTGGTACTAATCTCGGCCACTCTTGGGTGTTAGTCTCCTATTTTGTTACTTTATGTTCCCCAGATGAATGCAATCTTTCTATATCTATCCCTCTCTTTCTGACTCATTTTACTTAACATGATACTTTCCATGTAGTACCACTTATACGTAAATTTCATGACTTCATCTTTTCTAACACCTACATAGAACTCCATTGTGTAAATGTACCAAAGTTTCTTTAACCAGTCATCTGTTCTCGGGCACTCAGGTTTTTTCCAGATTCTGCAGGCCACCTTCTGAAACCCTCCAGTAAGGCCATCATGGAGGCGCTACCTCCATCCCCCAGACTTGCCTTCCCAGAACCCTTCTCAGCATCCAGGTTAGTATAGAAACTTGCTTGGGGCTAAGAGGGGTCCAGGGGGCTGCAGGTTCTGCCAAGGAGCCCCAAGTACCATCTGGTGTAGTCCAACAGCCCCCAATAACATACTCTCCCGGAACGCCGATCTGCTGCTTATGTCCTGACAAAAGGCACCAGAATCAGGTCCTGGAAGCAGGGACGGCTGCCTGCAGTGTCCTGACTACCCGCGGATGCCCAGGTGCTTGAGCAGTGCAGGGTCCCGAAGGCCCCACTGGTCTGAGCATGGCCCAGCAGCACTTTCAGAGGCCACGGGAGTGAAGGGTCTGAGGGCTGCCACACAGAGCCTGATGACAGGAAGGACAAGGCCCAGCTCCTACTGGCCCACCAAAGCACCCTCAAGGAAGACTCACCCAGGACCTCCCACCATGTTCCCTCACCCCGGAAGCCCAACCACAGACCAGACAAGCCCCCAGAATTCCACAGCCTTTTTCTGACCCTATCCTGGTGCAAATGACTAAGCATGACAAAGGTGCCCTGAGCCACTTCCTGAAATCAGCCCCACAGCGGGGTGTCCCAGACAAGTCCCAGTGACAGCAAGGAGGCAGCCCACACTTACCTGGAAATGGAGGCCACAAAGGGCTGCAGCTCCTTGGGATCGTAGGCGCGTGCAAAGGCCCAGCACACGTAGCAGGCAGCATCACGGACATTGGCGCCCACACTGCAGGATCCTCGCTTTTCATCATACGTCAGTGCCCTCAGGATCACGGCCACCACTGCACAGAGACAAGAGTGAGTGTGGCCCAAGGAAAACACCCCACTCCGGAGAGAAAAAGGCTCTCCATCCAGTCCAGCAAGAGCCGTCCCAACACTGCCCCAGGATCCGTGAGACGTGTGAGGCCTACACAGTGGCCAGGCATGCTGCAGGCACTGCAGCTCCTGATCCAAGGAACAGGCCGCTGCCAAACAAGGAGTGACACACAGGAGTGACACACAGAATCAGGGATCAGAGCTGAGAGCATGTGGGAGGCCCAGTTCATTCCCCAGCACCACACAGTTCCCAGGGCACCACAAAGTGTGACCCCAAAACCAGAAAAAAAATTACATTCACTCATGCATGAAACTTGGAAAGTTTAAGAGAATTTACTTTACAAATGAGGCAAACAGCTTGTAAAGTCTCTTAATATAGCTGTTAACAGAAAAATGTGGAAGGGTGTTAAAGGAGGTTTTCCCTAGAAACACAAACCCTCTTTTTAGCAACCACACTCGTGTCCCCATATGTGAGCCTAGAGGCTTGCAGCAGGTTCACAGAGGGTGGGCCCTGTAGTTATCGGTTCCCATCACTATCCCCAGCAACCTGGGCCGACTGGAGGTGCACCAGCACACTGCACATGGTCTCCAATGTTGACAGCTGGTGCTGATGGCATGGGGAAGGGAGAGAGGGCACTGAGAGATGAACCAGAGATCTGCACTAGGATGGCCATCACAGAGATCACCATCTAGAACGCACACTCGGAGACAAGCAGTGCATACTCATCTCCCTGACCTTTTCACAACAAAGGGATTTATTCTACATAAACAGCAAAAGGAAAGTGGCCCAGGGAAGGAGCAATCACCACAGAGAGTGCACCCGACCTGGTGCGGTCTCACCGCTAAAACTGAGCATGCCCTCTGCAAAGCACTGCAGCAGAGCAGACGAGCCACTGAGTTGGAGCAGAGACCCGAACCTGGTCAGTTTGTGCCAACACTGCAGTGAGAAGCTGTCCCAGGCAGCCCCACAGCCAATGACTGTCACTGCAGCACTACCACAGGGAGGACGGGAGAGAACTCACAGCACATAAGCAGCACTGAGACCTCACTTCCGAGTTCACTGAGGATTCTAGGCATGACAGGGTACCGCGGCATGCTCACCCCCGTCTCTCTCGGGACTCAGAGCAGCAGAGTCACCATGTGGCTGCATCCAGAGGCCCAAGGGCAGGAGCCAATGACTCCCTGACTTGCGGGCCAAGGGCCACATCGTGCAGCCACTGTCTGGTCCAGAGCTCTTTGCCTCAACCCAATGGCAGCAGGACACCCTCCCCAGAGTGTGCGAGGGACCCCTCAAATTCATAGTACCTGAGGCAGAGCCTGGCACCCCACCCTCATCCCTAGTGTCAAGCCGAGGCTGACTCACCGACCAAAAACCTGCCCCTGCCCAGCTGCTCCCAGAGTGTGGCCAACCTACCCAAGGCCCACCATACTGCTGACCTGTCCCAGACTCTCCCCTTGACGCCCATCAGGGTGAAAACCCCTGGCCAGTGCTCCTGTTCAGGAGCCACACAACTGACCAGGTCAGCACAGCACAGACTGACCTTTGGGGATCCCAAACCACCCTTGCAAGGACCCTGGCCACCCTCCCATGCCTCATGGCAAATGGGGAAATGCTGGCCCAGGGCCGCTGCACACCCAGCACTGACATCTCATTAGTGACTTTCCCACTGGACCTCCAAGCCCACATGCTGAAAGGCTTAGCTTTTGTCTGGACACGACTTGTTTCCCAGCTTCCTGCTACTGGCCTTCATGGTCCACGTCCACAGGGCAGCCATTTGTGGCCCACAAGTATCAGGACTAATAGGCTGAGGTCCCTTGGGGAGGAGGCACCACCTGATGTGGACACCCCTCTCTCTGCCACACGGACCAGCCAGGGAAAGCCAGTCTATGATTCTATAGCCTCAGGGGAAGCTGGCTGCTCCTTGCTGAGTCCCAATTTATCAGTCCACTGGACAGAATCAGTTTCTAAACAGACACTGTGAGTGACAGTCACCAGGTCCGCACCGACCTCAGGCAGATGCCATGCTGAGCCAATCATCTGTAGGGACCCAGTCACCCCCAGCCCAGACCTGCTCCCAAGCCCAGCACTGTTGAGGCGCCGCTCGGGCGGGCTCCACAGGCCACTCAGCCATGCTCAAAGGACACACAGTGCCGATTCTCTTCCACAACGGGCATCTGCCCACACACCCCAACCTCGGGCAACTGGTGGGCTGCTGGGGGCAAGGGCAGCTGGCCAACAGACAGTGTGCAGTAAGGACAGAGTCAGAAGGGGACACCCCCTTTTGTCCAGCCTTTCTGTGCTCAGATTCCCACTGTCCCACACCAGCCACCAAACACATGGGCGGGTAACACACATGCAGGTGATGCCTGGCCCTGGCCACCCCCGACAGGCCAGAGCTGAGCCATGCTGGGGCCTCTGGGAAGAAGCAGAATTACAGAATGCAGAACTGCTTCAAATCAGAGAAAGACCAGGCAATTTCTTCAACAAGAAACCTGGAGTTTCTCAGGAAGTAGCAAAAGCTACAGTGAGGAGCGGTCAGTGGTCATGTCCTGCCTCTCTGTGTAAAAGGACAGGGTGCCCAGCTCTGACATCCCAGGACACAGAGGCCAAGGCAAATCAGTCACAGAAGCCCAGCATGGCACAAGGACAATCACAGTGGGGGAACGTGTGGGGGGTTCACATGGGGGGGGCAGTATGGAGCACACCCCATCTTCCCTAAACTTGGAAAAATAAGTCACTATCCAAGGAATGAAACTCAAAAACTAACAATGCTCCAGATTGAGCAGGTTTAAAATAAGGAAACTCTTCAATAGCTCTAAACAAAAAACTCCTCCTGGTTCCAATTACACACTGCAAATGCATGTCAGGTATATGAGATTCCCCAGAGGGCTTCCTTTTGGCAACCCTAAGCACAGCAATGTAGCTTAAATGCCTTCTCTCTAGACAGCATGTCACCTGCCAATGCCAAGCGCCTAAGGAAAAGGCAGCCTCCAGGTGAGAGAGGATTTAACTCTCAGCACACCAGTCAGCTCGGGAGGCAGAGTAGCACAGATCCACTCAGAAAACCGCCATGGCAGTGGCGCTCAGGAAACCACCATGTGGCAGTGGCTCATGGATCAGGAACCTGAGAAACAGACTCACAATAAAAGGACTGTGCCCAGCAGAGTCTCCGGGGGCATGGGCGCCCCCTCGGCATGAGCACCCCCTCGGCATGAGCTGCGTGCTCACTCACAAGCCTGCCCGCCCAGAGTCAATTATCACGGCAGAATTTCCACTTCACTCACCAGCACAAAGAGCCATCAAAATAGCCTCAAAAATGCAGTTCAACTTGCTCAGAAAGAGCCGATGTTTGATTTGCTAGGGGGCAGGAAGAACGATGGCAAAGCTACTGGTTCCAGACATTTGCTTTTCAGTTCCCACAGGCCATTTCTAAGCCATCCCCACAGCCTGCAATGGCAGCAGGTAGCAGCCATCATCCCATGCCACAGGATGGGATGTGAGCCTGCCTGAGCAGGCCCAACAAAGCACAAAGAGACAGACTCTCCGGGCCTCCCTGTCTGGGGGGGACATAGCTGGCAAGCACCATCCACTTTCACTTTCCCAGAGGCCTCATCACTTGGGCTGTGCAGGTGCCCACTGTACACGGTGCCACGGACAAGAGCCAGGCTCATCCATCTCCCCAAGACCATCCATGCTCACACCACAAGTGGAAACAGACAGCCGCTGTGACACAGAACAGGCTGGGAGCCTGTGTGCAGCCCGAAACACCAAGCATCAAGCAGGCCTCTCTGCTGCCTTGAGGCTGCTGAACCCACAAGTAGAGATGGGCTTGACCCTGGTTGGCTCAACCTCCACTACTCCGCTGGGAATGATGAGAAACAGTGAAGCAACATGAGACTGTTTGATGCCCCAATCAGCTGGATTGGACAGGTGAGTCTAAGACATGGGGTCTAAGAGACACCCAACTGGCCTACACATTTTCCAGAGTGCACCCTGGTCTGCACTGCTTGTGGAACCCTCTGTCCTGGACCACGCTGACATCTCTGAGGAGTGTCCCCTAGTAAGTGGGAATGATGTTTTCAGTGTGAATGCTATAGATAACTTGTCAGAAACAGCAACACTGGTCTCTGACCTGCTGGAGGGATGAGGAAAGGAGCTCCCTGACACAGCACATGCTTCACATAGCTAAAGCCCCCAGAAGAGCAAAAAGTAGAGAAAAACGGACTTCCCATATGACCAAGGAATGGTCATCCTGAGTACTGGTCCCAGAGAACACAGGAAGGTATTTCTACACAGGAGCCTTCATACATTGCCTCATCGTACAGAGCCAGAGCATGTCCCACCCACCCAGGGTCGCTGGCAATAAAGAGGAAGGAGTCTGTCCCACTGCTCTTCTGTAATGGAGGGCAAAGCCCATCTCAAATGACATGAGGTCAAGACCCTGCCTCTGGAACCATTGCTGGTGTAGAACAACACGTGGAGAAGCTGGGGTGGCACCAGGCCGGGCTGGGGAACACACAAGAGGGCCTTCTGGGATGTCCAGAGCGAGCACCTGGACAACCTACTGTATGACCAGCACACAGGCATGCATGGCTGAGTGGTGGCCACTGATGTCTGAGCAAGCCCTGGCATTTGTCACCTGAGGGGTAGACAGGGTCACCATGAATGAGGTCTGGAAGGATGGCAAGCAAGACCCCCTGAATATTTCTTTGCAACTATCTGCAGAACTATAATCCAAAATAAAAAGGTTCTTTAAACTGTTTGTTTTTGGGTCGCATACCCAGCTGTGCTCAGAGCTTATTCCTGGGCGTGTGCTCAGGAATCACTCCTGGTAGGCTCGGGGAATCCTAATGGGGTACCAGGGATCAAACCAGCCATGTGAAAGGCAAGCACCTTAATACACTGGCCTATCTCTCTGAAAGTTCACTGAGGTTAGTTAAGGGCAGAAATAGGAACTAGAAAGAG